TAGATATAAAAAAAAATAGTCAAAACACTATCTCTGTTATAATTCTGTTTATCCCTCCCTTCATTGGTTAGTTCAAACAACCATTACACCCTGCCAATACCTCAAATAATGTTAGTGTGAAAACTCAGAACTGACATATCAGACACTATTTGGTTTCAGTGAGAAAGTGAAAGAAAGAAGTGTTTAACAAGGGGCTGTTTCAGTGAAATGGAAAAAGTTGTCAATCTCAAATCTTTTCATTTGTACACCCTTACATATAAATAAATTTATTAATAGAAATGTTTGCAAGACAGATTTTCAGATAGTTATAATTAATGTAATAGTAAAATATATAGCACCCAGTGATTGGAAAACCTATACAAGGTATATTAAAATGGTTAGATTTTTATTTTGCAAAAGTTCTTGTAGCTCAGTTGGTAAAGCAACTGATGTGGTTAACCAAGCTTTAAAGAGATATAAATTTCTTTTGCCAAGAACTTACCTTTCATTTCCAGTCCATGCTATTTACTAACATCCATAGACAAATGGTTTGAAAAGCAACTTTAATTAAAATGAAAGAAATATAAGGGAAATTAACAAGAGTTTTATTATCCAACTTGTAATAAATTTGTTACCCACAAAGGAAAAGCTACTTTACAATCTTAATGAGAATTTTAGCACTCTGATTTCTAAGTGTATAGAAAATTAATTCTGTTTCTTATGAACTTCACCTTATTTCCCTGCCCCACTCATTCTCTTAAAATGAAAATCCAGTTACTAAAACAAAATCTTGCATTAGTGATTTCTCACTAGATGATGATTCATAGTTGGCTAGATATGTTGAGGTTGATATGAATCAAATCAAAACATTACTTGAAAATAATGATTTATTATTCAATGTAGGAGATGACCATCATATTGAAAATATCCAAAGGAATCATTGAAAATAATTTTCATCAACTTGTTTGTATTATTTTAATGCATGGCTTTCACATAAGTTTGAGGGTGGGGGAGACAAAAAATACTACTGTGTTTAAATGTTTCATTTTTGAAACAAACTTATTGGTGATGAAAAGTGAATGCTTTATGACAATGTAAGAGATCAATGGACAAACAAAATTAACCACTATTAACCTTACCAAAGTCTAGAAAATCTTTCTCTACTATGAAAACTTTGAAAACTCAAATCATTGATTTGTACAAGTACTAGTCACAATTAGGGTGATTTTAAAGGAAAAAAAAATATTCCATCAAGATAATTCTTGACTGCATATTTCTTTGATGACCACACTATTATTACAGCTTGGCTGGCAAGTTTTCTCTCATCCACATTGCCAGATATTGTAACTTCAGATTACCATTTATGATAATTTAATCTTTTAAGAATTCTCTCATTGAGAAAATGTCCAATTTAAAAGAAAGAAAAAAAGATGCATAAGGTACTTACAGCACTTTTTTTGCTGGGAATGATAAGTTCTGGAAGGGTGGAATTATAAAATTGGTTGAAAGATTGCAAATGATAGTGAATCAGAAATGATGAATATATTGTTCGATTAAATTAATGTCGAAATCTAAGTTTTAATTTTACTTAAACCAAATATTTGAAGGAATGATAATAGCTTATCAAAATGTTATTTAATCTTGTTTAAATTTAATAATCAGTACAAGGAATAAAATTTCTGCAAAATGAAGCTTTATCAAAATTATTCTAATCACTTGATTAGTTTGTGTATTTACTTTTTAGTATTTAAAGATCAAAGTAAATTTTTGAAATAGATAAGTGAAAACTTTAAAGAGCTTTTCAACTGTCTAATTAAGTAGACAACCAGACAACTTTACCTGTTTATGTCAAGGCCAATCAAACAGATTATGAAGGAGTTAATTTGTATGCAATTGGCTTATGCAGAAATAGCCATATAGTGTCAGCTTAAACAAGCTGGTTTGACATTGTTATGATTGTTGTTGATGTAAGATTTTGATTTTATTTAAACTTTCACAATCTTATTTTTAGTATTGTTGCTATTTAAAAAGTATTAATTACTACCTAGTCAAAAAGTTTATCTAAAACTACAATTAACCTAATTTCTAATGATGTCAATAAACCAAATTCAAGTTGATGCTGAAAAGTTCTTGCTCTAACCAAAAATTATCTGATGTTTGGTCAGTTTTTGCAAAGTGGTTTCAGCCAAGAACTTGTAGAAGGTTGAGGGTGTGAAAATATTAAACTCTTCTACAAAAGAAATAAGTAGATAAAGTACAAATCAAAAAATTCTTGGTGTTTTACAGAAATGTACCTTTTTTTTTTCCTTCTCTTGTGTTAAAGTCCAGTTTTTTATGAAGAGTTTCAGTATGAATAGAAATAGATGAGAAATTGGAAGAATTCTTAATGATTCCTCTTACTACTTTAATTCAGACTTTCACTGAAACTGGTTACATGATAAATTATCTGGCACAAGGACATAGTAGTGAGCACAAAAATACATGTCAAATATTTAACAGAAAAATACTTGACACTATTTGAAACTTTTCAGGTTAATAATTTGATACATGATTGAAATGTTGTATAAATTTTATCTTTCTTCATAAATTATGAGTTAATTAAATTTTATGTTAAGTTTGTTTCCATTCAATAGAGATATTGAATCTTATTAACAATTTTCAATGAAGAGGTTTTTATTCTATCTAAAAATGATTAATAAAACTTCTTTGCTGTGTTCACTATAATTTGAATTTAATTTGTTCATTTTACCAAATTTATATAGATTTAAAAAAATTTTCTTTACACACACTAAAAACTGTCCCGCATCAGTTGGTTAATACCAATTTTATTATTGAAAACATTGATTTTTATGTAAAAAAAAAAAGAAATCTTACATAGGTACACAAATACTATTGTTTGCAGTGAGCTTCATAAGATAGTGGCTCTCTGCCTGTTATTTGACATATACTTTTATAGATTTTGTGCATTTTATCAGTATATTGACAATGTTATCATTTTGCTGTATACTTAAAATAGATCTTTGTTTTCATTGGTTAAGATATAGTCCAAATAATTTATTTTCTTGTTTGCATTTTTCCTATAAGTATTATTCATAATCCTTCTCCAGCAACATTTTCTCAATGTGTACTACAATATATCTTAAAGTGGAATATGTACATTAAAGATTACAGAAATTTTTATGAGGTCAATAGGCATCAAGCATTAAATTGATGAGAAGTTGGTAATAAGTTTTTCTAATTTATTAATTCTTGCTACACTAGTTTTACATACTGTCCAAAAAGAATTATAGCCATAGTTAATGAATTTTGCAATTGCATTGACTATATTTTCTGCAAGAGTGGGCACATAGTTGAATGGTGAATCTCACCATGGCCATTTCTTGATAATATCAGCAAGAGGAGACAATCCCAATATTTGGCACTATTGGGAAGTGCCTGAAAAACACAGGACAAGTTGATACAGACCTTGAGTGAAATTAAGTTGACAAAATTGTTTCAATACTATCAATGATTGTGCTAGCACACAGTCATGTCATTGTGACTGAGGGGCTCAAGCATACTGGCTCAGTCCAACTATTAATCACAGTGTGCACTCTCCCAGAAACTGTAACCCAGGTCAACTCAATATACTTGTAATATAAAACACGGGTCAGCTCCATAGGTGTTGAGAGAAAAAAAAAACAAACAAATGTTGTTGAGCATGTGTCTGCAACAAGGATCCTAGTAGATAGGCCTACTTGGAAATAAATTACCAACCATTTATTTTCTGCAGAAGTAATTTAGGATTTTTATTTAACTTTATTCTAATTTTTGCTTTTTAAATCATTAAAAGTAAAAATATCCAAGAAACTTATTCTCATTCCTTATGAGATATCCCATTGTTAGAGTAACATGAGATGTTATTTGTGTCAAGTAATGCCTCTTAACTCTTTTATAAGGAATGGCAATCAAACTGACTGATAAATTGCTTTTTAACATAGATTACTTTCCTTTTTTTTTCTTTTTTAAGGATTGATAAAAAAAACCTAGAATTTGTAAATGTTTACAATCGGAAAAGCTTAACTTTAGTTAATGCTATGTTAGTTTACTAGCAGAGCTCTGCTTATTAATCATTGTCTATGACCTCCATTTTAATGGTTCACCCACTATCATTCTATCCTGTTATAATTCCAGGTTATGCAGTTGGTAATGACATTTTAAATTTAAATTGATTTAATGAAATACACAATTCATATTTTTTAATCTTCTATTTTAAACTCCAATTAAACAACTAAGGGAAATATGCCACTTCAGTTGAAAAACAGTAGCATTTGGAATATTGTTGTCTTTCCAAGTACATGACTGATTGTTTAGATATGACATAACTAGATTAACTTTTCATCTGTAATCTAACAAATTTATCAATTCTGTAATTTCTTTCAAGATTTTCACAATTCGTGTTCTTCATTTATTTCCAAAATGTTTTTTTTTTGAAAGTGAAGCACAAAACAAATTTGCCTCTTCACTTTCTTTTATCTTTTCTTTCTCTTTAAAATTTTACCATTACTCTTATCACATCTCCTGCTCTTCTTTGATTAAGAAATTTACTAAATGAAGATTCTAGAAAATAGTATCAGTTGAATGATTATTCATCATTAGTACCATTTTATGCTTTAGGATGAACATGAACCTGATGGGATACTAAAAAGCCTTACTCTATTCATTAAATTTTCCAGCTACAATTAATATTACAGATGATTTTATATTGGAATATTGAAAGTGTGATTCTTCAATGAACTTTCTTTCAAAACTGCTTGGTGAAAACCAATTAGGAATTATTTACAAAGATATAGTAAAATGCTTAATATTTCAAGTCTTGACCTCTGAAATAGATGTCTTTTAAATTTCTACAAAAGTGGTTAACTGTAGATAAGAGACAATAAACAAATCTGAACTTGTAGCATTAAATCCATAAAGAAAGAAATTTTCCCAAAAGTGCTCATTTGATTTAAATAAGATCCATTGTCCTGAACAGCACACTCATGATTTTGTCAAGTAATTTCATTAATATAACCAAGATTTTTTGTTTTGTTGTTGTTTTTTTGTTTTGTTGTTGTTTCGTTTTTTTGTTTTTTTGTTGTTTCTCTTTTTTGTTTTTTTGTTGTTTCTCTTTTTTGTTTTTTTGTTGTTTCTCTTTTTTGTTTTTTTGTTGTTTCTCTTTTTTGTTTTTTTGTTGTTTCTCTTTTTTGTTTTTTTGTTGTTTTCTTTTTTTTTTTTTTGTTTTCTTTTTTTTTTTTTTTGTTTCTTTTTTGTTTTTTGTTTTTTTTTTTTTTTGTTTCTCTTTTTTTTTTTTTTTTGTTTCTCTTTTTTTTTTTTTTTGTTTTCTCTTTTTGTTGTTTTCTTTTTTGTTTTTTTGTTGTTTCTCTTTTTTGTTTTTTTGTTGTTTCTCTTTTTTGTTGTTTCTCTTTTTTGTTGTTTCTCTTTTTTGTTGTTTCTCTTTTTTGTTGTTTCTCTTTTTTGTTGTTTCTCTTTTTTGTTGTTTCTCTTTTTTGTTGTTTCTCTTTTTTGTTGTTTCTCTTTTTTGTTGTTTCTCTTTTTGTTGTTTCTCTTTTTTTTGTTGTTTCTCTTTTTTGTTGTTTCTCTTTTTTGTTGTTTCTCTTTTTGTTGTTTCTCTTTTTGTTGTTTCTCTTTTTGTTGTTTTCTTTTTTTGTTGTTTCTCTTTTTGTTGTTTCTCTTTTTTTGTTGTTTCTCTTTTTTGTTGTTTCTCTTTTTTGTTGTTTCTCTTTTTTGTTGTTTCTCTTTTTTGTTTTTTTGTTGTTTCTCTCTGTTTCTCTCTTTTTTTTCTTTTTGTTTCTCTCTTTTTTTCTTTCTTTGTGGTAGTGGTTGTTTCTCTTTTTTTCTTTTTGGTTTCTCTTTTTTTTTGTTTCTCTTTCTCTTTTTTTGTTTTTGTTCTTTTTTGGGGGGGTTGCTGTTTTTGTTTTTTTTTGTTTTGTTTTGTTTTTGTTGTTCTTTGTTTTTATAAATGGTCAGTGAAGGTTTGCTGTCAAATCCAGCAGCAACATCACTGCTAATGGAACTGCTTAGATACTGCAGTTTTTAAAAGGAAAATAACTCATTGTTAGATGAGTTATTTATTAAATAATAAAGAAACTATTAAAGTGGGAAAATTTTTTGTTTTCCATCTGATTTTGAAGTTTTCTTTCATTTGCAGCCATTTATCTATTTATTTTAAATTGTTTACTCATTTGGTCCTTGTTATTCATAGGACTCTTTATATTCTTATCTATTAATTGAAACATAAATAAAAGGGATTACTCTTGGTTAACCCAAATCTCATTTGACTTGGAAAAATGATCACATTAGCTAACAATATGAGGCTTATAAGCCTTATAACTAATAACAATAGTTAAACTAGTTCTGCTAAGTTGGACATGGTTATTCATTTTTGCTGATAATCTTATGTGAAAGGAAAACCAAATGTCATCAGCTGATCTTTGAAGACAAACACTTTATCTTTGAACTGTTACTACTGTTAATAGTCTTGCTTAGAATGATAAGTTCATTTCTACATAGATAAACAAAGTGGAGCAGAGCTTACCTAATTATCCATTCCAGAATTCTGTTTTAAAAGACGTAAACTCTTTAAGCATTTCAGACAAAAACATGGAAAAAGAAGGTGAGTTTTACCAAAGGTTTGTGAAGTGATCCTACTTCATAAAAAGTAGAAATCTCCTTTCATAGACATTGGTTTACCTTGTTTTTGCTATATTGCTTATGTTTATCCTACTTAGGAATTACATATCTTAGTTGTAAACAAGAACCTTGAGTAAGAGGAATGTTTCTCAAGTAATATGCTATTTACTAAGATTAGGCTTCCTACTATTATTGTAACTATAATGCTTTCTTGTAGTTATTGGAAGAGTAAAATATCTATTTTTATATATATATATATATATATATATATATATATATATATATATATATATAATAACAAACTCACATCAATGTAACTAAATATGTTAGCTCTATCACTGATATTGAATGCTTTCCAATAAGTACTGCACATATTATATATGTATAAAAATTACAGATATATAAATTCTAAACAGTTCGGTAATGTTCTGAATCTTAGAAAAAATTTATACTGGCAAACCTTTTTTTTCTTTAAGAATTTAAGATCACATTTTTTTACAATTCCTGTGTTATTTGGATTCATTCTATAATCTTGAATTTTATTGTAAACCTCTTCCTGATTTGTAGTCACTTGGTTTTTCTGTTCATTGTTAGCATATTTTTCAAAATAAATTTTTACACACCTAATTTTGATTATAAAGTCCACATATAAAATGGCAGACAATTTTTTTTTTTTTTTTTTAATCACTGGTCTCTTCTCTTAGATAAACTTTCTGATTACTATGAAACCAGCTACTTGATCTACTTATATAAACTAAAAATTACAAAAAAAAGAAAGAAGTCACCTTTTTTAAGAATATTGTACTTAAAACAGCTGTTGGTATTTAAATTTCCCAGTAGTGAAATACTGCACATAAAACCTGAATTAAATTTAACTTTGTTAAATATCAGACTGGTTATGTCTTGAATATGATTTAAAATTGTTTAATCAATATACCTATTTGAGATTTGTATGTGTATAAACAATTAAGCAAATAAGGCCATTTTTCAACCTATATTTGCTATCAATATTGTTAGCAATACAATCCTCTATTTCATACAAGAATGGATAAAAAAAATCTATAGGCTGATTTGTAGTTATTAGTTGAATTTTGAGTTATTATGTAACTGTATGTTAAATCTGTAATTAATATTTATCAATTAAGTGCATTGAAAAGGTAGATCATTAAAAAATAATGGCTTTTTTTAAGGCTTTGGACTTATTTATAAACCAACATATATATTTATCTACATTAACAAAAGGATAATCTTAAAATAATTGTGAACTGCTATTATATTACTTCAGATATAAGAAGTGTCAGATGGGGGTCAATCCTCAGGAAAATTATATTTCTGCTGGACCTATATAGGTTGATGTACAGGAAATTCTGTTTTTGCTAACTTTATTTCTATCACTATTTTTCTCTTCAAATGAATGAAAAAAAAAATGGATGTATGATTTTTTTTTTTTTTTTAAATGTGTAAAATCATTCTAGGTAGTTCATAAATTTGAACATGGTTAGTTGGTAATTCATATTAGTAACAGTGGTATTATCTTAATTTTTATTAAATGAAGCAGATAAAAAAAATTAAGATGGAATACTACTCACAAATTAATATTGGTTGACAATGCATCAGCTAATAAAAAAGAAAATAATATCGCTGTTGATAGTGCAAGTACAAAACAAATATGGTGCTAAGAAAGATTATAGAATAAGTGATTTATAATTAGAATGGAGTTTTTACAAAGTTGATCAGAAAAAGCAACCTATGCATTCAGCCAGGCTTCCTTAAGGCAAAAGAGACATGAATTTGAGCCTTACCAGTTTGATCATTATTTCCAATCTGTGCTTTCTACTCATAAACTGGATAAAAGTGTGGCAAAAATGAACTTAAAAGTTAAGATGAAAGTAAATACTATTCAAAAATTACTAATGCATGGGAGGATTTCATCTGCTAATTGGTATTCTCTCAAAATTACTTTTGAGGAATTATTTTTCCCACTAATGTCAATTTCGTGTTCAGATGAAACCTCAGTTATTATGGCTCTAACTTCAGCCAACATTCTACTGAAACCTGAAGTAACAAATTTCATATTTAAAAAAAACAAACCCCAAACTGTCTTTTAATTTCTCTGAATTTGTCCTGCACCTTTACACCACCTGTGCATCTCAGTCATAAACTTTAACTGTCTGATACTGTCTGTATTTCAACAATGAGGCAAATAAACAAATGTTCACTTGGTTGTACTGACCACTCCTGCTTGGTAACCAATTTTAGCTAGCAGGAAAAACAGGTTCTTACATGAAGCTACAATGACTAAGATACCTCTTAATTCTTTACAAGAGAAGATAATTCAGTAATTCAAAATTTTTAGAAGGGGAAAAGAGAGGTATTTACAACATACGATTATTATAAGTCTACAAAATTATTTTGACGTCAACAAAACTCCTGTATGATTTATTTTTATTTGAACAAGGCCCCCTTCTTTAATAGCCAATTTGTATGGTGTCTGCCATGTTGATGATAGAGAAACAATTAAAATTAGATTTTCATTTACACTGATTGTTATTTAACAAATGTTTATAAATTTAGGACTTTTTATCACCATCCAAATGTTCCATTGCACATTCATATATTGGTGTAATGTGTCATCATTTCCATGAATATGTAACAGAACATCTAGTTGTGGATAAAAAGCAATCAATTTTCAAAAAATTATCAAATACTGCTTAGTGTAAACAAAAATGTAATTTTGTTTCTCTATCAAGAAAGTGAACACACCATACAAATTGGCTATTAAAAAAGCATTCCAGGTTGTGAAAAAAATGGAGCTTTATTTATATAAGCAAGTTAAATCATGCATGATAATCTCGATGTAAAAAAATAATTTTGTACAATTGTAACAACCATATATTGTGCAAACTTTTTTTTTTTTCTAAGAATTTTGAATTAAGTCTGTATTATGCTTTGGCATATCTCTAAATAATTTCATGCTGTGGATAGTGAGCTGTACATGACATCGCACACATATCTTTGACATGTCTGTTCTCATTTATAAAAATCTTTATTGAATACAGTTATGATATATTATGGTTATTTCCTTTTTGAATGATTTGTCAAAAGAATGGTGATACAATTCACCTTTCTTTTATTCCCTACCCCCCACACGCTTTTTTAATTTACCATGTTTGTGAGGTGAAAGTTTTAAATTTTTTATTGACTTAACCAGCTTTGAGAGGCATTTATTACTATTTTTCTTTCTTTAATATGTATAGAAATAGAAACAGTTCAACTTTAGTTTGTTGATGTTTATTTGGGTTTAGCTTTTATCCTAAAAATTTATAACTTGCAGAAATGCCATAATTCATATTTCAGTAATTGTACTCTAGCTAAAAAACTTTATTGTACTAATACCTAAACACTTTTATTTGAGACACTTGTCTCTTGACATCAGAATTAAACTTATGTGATTATAAATTCCCAAATTATGATTACAACTTAAAATTAAATATATATTAATGAGCTGAAGATTTATTGGTTTTTCTAAGTATTACATGCTAAAGTATATATGCATACTAGCAGTAGAGCCCGGCGTTGCCCAGGGATGTAACACTAAAAGAGATAGATCAAGTATCGACCATCATAAAGACTGAAAAATAAAATTGACAAAGATTATTGTTTAAGGTTGACGGACACACATGTCTGAATTTGTTTTTTTTTATTACAAATTGGTAAAACTCAAACAAAAACATTGTTTTCAATCGTTATGAATCTATCGATTGAATAGAATTTTATTATGAACAATTGTTTTGTAAATGGAATTTTTAAAGCATTCATAATGTAAAAATAAAGAAAAAAGTGTGCAAGACAACAAGAAACACTACCTGCCAAAAAAAAAGTGAAGTTTTGTTGAAATCGGTTGAAAAATGTAGGAAATCCGATCCAATATATAAACGTACAGACACACACACACAACCTGCATTTTATATAAGATTATATGCTAGGAAATGCAGTATACAAAGATTGATGTAAATTTAAACTGATGAGATGTTCATGTTCTCAAATAGAAAGGTTGTTACTATTAGGTTAACCACACACTGAACTAATTTTGTTTTACAAAGCAATAATCAATATTGTTCTGAATGAAATTATAAAGCATAAAACAATGCTGAAAATAATTGTACAATATCTTTTTTTTTAGCTGTATATTATATGCTATAATAAACTTTTGGGAATTTATTTTAATAATAATCATAATAATATCCCTCTAGTCTTATACTGAGCACTTTATTAGCAGAAATTCTGTTAAATTTGATATGTTAAATTATATAATTTTATGTACATTATTTGCTCATATTAATAGCTAGTATTTTTATTTTATTTTGTTCTATATAAAGATTCTATGGTTGAGAAGTTTAAAGCTAATAAAAATTATTGATTCATATTAAATGATTAAATTTTGAATTGCAAATTATCGTATTACCATATTTGGATTTAATTTTTATTTTCATATAATACATTTAATGTTATATGAAATAATCTAAGATTTAAAATCAAATAAAGTGCTAAGTTTTGTATAATCTAACTCCTGTTAGAATTAAAAGCCAAAGCAATTGTTTACTACTAATTGGAAATTTTGTTGAAATTAGTAAGCATAGTATTGAGTCTATTAAAAAAAAAAAAAAAAAAAAAACACATTCAAAAGTAATTATTGTATATAAAATTCTTGTCTACTTTGATAATAATTAATATTAAAATATTGGCCTGAATTGACCAAATAAAGCTGCCAGATAAAGTCAAGCTTTTTGCTTAAAACTATAATAAAAAAAAATGTATTTATTTGATATTTGCTTTTATTAGAGTAATGATAGTATATGGCAGGGGTACCAGGTTACTAGTTTAATTCAAGCTTGTCTTTTTTTAGTAAAATGTACACTATGTTGTTACCAAAGTGAAATTCTTGTAAGGTGTAAGAAAGTTGTATTTTTATATTTTATTGAGAACATTAAGCAAATTCAAACAAAAGAAATAAGAAAATTATATGTAAAATGTAGATTAAAAATTTATATACAATATAATGTTTGCATTACAATATATTTGTTTTGTGTGAAATTTGAATTGTCAGTCAGTAAAGAAAAGTTAGTAATGCAAAAAGATCAATGAATTCTTTTTGGGTGAGAAAGTTTCTGATTTTCTTATTGGATGTAAAAATTGTTTGGAATCACATGACAGATTTACTGTTTGAATTTTCACCATTTGAAATTGTTGGTAAATTCTTTTGATATATCACTTGATTTTACTTTCGGTCAGGCTTTTTTTCATTGCCCAAAATTATTTTGCTAGTTTTAGAGATGACATAATCATGTTCATGCCTATTTACAGATGCACACACAAACACTAAATGCCATAGGCCATCATGGTTCTCCACAACTTCCTGTCCTTTTAACTCTAAGCAATATTTGATGCTTTGCCCCTGCTTGCCATTCAGTCAAACTAAATCATTACATAGGATACTCAATCAGCACCCTGCTTGTTTTCAATATCTCTTGTGAGTTTTAAGATTTGTGTATAATTTTTAAAACTCATTAACACCAATTTATAACAATTTTCCTATTTAAATCATTCACAATTGACTAATGTCCTAATTTTTGATATCACAATGTTCCAGCTCTTCTGTCCTCGGGTATTCAGGGGTTTTTCAATCCAGATAACTTTCAGAGTTAACACCTTTATTTAATTTAAGGTCAATTGCTCTAGTTCTGCTGTCTATATCCCAATATAAATTCTTCTTTTTTTAAGAACTGCTCAGTTCTTTCTAACCTCATTTCCACTGAGCCTCTAGGAGTTGAACCTGGGCAACTCTAGGAGTCAAGCAGATCTGAACCTTGGTTTGTAAAATTGGTGTGTAGTCGAAGTTTAATCCAGTGGAAACAGGGTGAGCAATGCTAAATAAAATGAGTGATCTCTAGACCTGGACAAAAGAAGTATAGTCTATCCCCATAGATTAAATAAAGTGTTTAGTTCAAAATTACCTGAACATTATCCAGATTGATACGCACCTAAAGAAGTTTGGAGAGTATAACAGTAAGAAATGTTGTGATAATAATGATGATGAGGATATTAATCCAACTGTAGCCCTTTGTCTTACAAATACAGACAGAAAAAAATTTTGCCGTTCAAAAAAAAAAAAAAAAAAAAAAACTGAAAATATCGCACTTTCATGTTTTATCTTATTCTTTCTTTTTCTCACACTTCCTTTTAAAATAGTAAATTTGCCTGTGTTTGTTAGAGTAATAATACTGTCATGTTTATACCAAATACATGTCAATTTCTGAATGCCATGTAATAAACAAAAACTCTTCTGATTCAACTAGACATAACTACTATCAGGAAACAAAAAAAAGTCATTTGTCCTATCCTCTTGAGGATGTTTTTCTTTTTTCCAATTTCATAATATTCTTTTTTTTTTTTTTTTTTCTCTATGTTCTGAGAAAATACTATAATATACATTTGTCTCATTTAGAAGTTAAGGACATTATTTATCCTTAATATTTCAAACTGATAATGTTGATGTTTTGTGCAATGACATGATGCAGTAAATGTGGGATATTCTGAATTGTTGATTTAAACAAATAAAAGAAAATTAGGAAATCAGTTTGAATTGTTATACTCATGGCTTTTAGATTTTTTTTCTTCATGTGCTAGTTTCAGAAGATAAAAACTTCACCTTCTTTTAGTACATTTGAATGTTGAGATCCAGGGCCACTTTTCCTCCAACCATGATTCTCCAAGTCAATGTTAAAGAGAAAAACTTTCTTGCAGGTGTTATTTTGATCCTTTTCTGCTGCTATTATTTTTTTATATTAAAAAAAAACATAACGGCATTCTTATTGCAAATTAGATTATAGTATTTTAAGTGTTATTTTTGGCAATATGCAAGAAAATGATTATTCACTGATCAAAAAATCTGAAAATACTTCACCTTATTGTTAGAGAAATTATTTTTTATTTATTTAAAGTGCATACTGATTCTAAAATCTTCATGTATATTTGATCACTTTTTTCCTTTTTTTTTTTCTTCTCCCCTTTCAGAACTTAACAAGGAAGAGAGTGCCTTCCGTAGTGGGTCCATCACACCTGATGGCTTAATAGATGAAGATTTTGAAAAAGAACTTGGGCCCTCACAGGTATTAACTTTTAAATATTAATTTTAAATATTTCTCAAATATCCATAGTCTTAATAAAGAGTATTTGAAAAAAATTTAATAATTAAATGTGTACAGGGATTCAATGATTTTTTTTTTTTTTTTTTTTTTTTTTATGTTTATGCTGTCTATTTTTTCTAACCTCCTATATAAAAACATTTTGAAAAATACTTGACAAGTCAAAAATTAGCAGAAAAAAAGTAAATGTAAATATATAAATGTTTGCAATATACCTCCTCAAAATATAAAAAATTCTGTCATCTAAATTTTGTAAAAAAAAAAACTTTCACAAATTAAGCTGTAACAAATTTAAAAATTTTTCTGTTAACATGTTTTTTGCATTATGTCATAATATTATTTATACTGTGAAAAATGTTAATTTTTATTTTTACAATGTTTGCCCTGTACAAGGCCCGAGAGCCATTTGAAGTAGAAAGTTTGGAGTAAGAGGCATGGTTTATGGGGATATGTGAAGAAGATAACAGCTGAGCCTAAACTTTAACAGGCAAAGATTTTAGTGATCGGGGAGGTATCCTCTTGAGAGTTGGTTCTACAAAGCGGTGGTTTGTGGAAAGAAGTTGCTCAAGTGGAACTTACATTTCACCAATGGAATACAAAGGGAATGAGGGTAGGTCACTACAATGTATATTTATGGTAGGTCTTAGCTGGTGGAACTAAAAAATGTAGTTTGAACACTTTCCCTGGAAACAGTGATAGAGCAGCAAAAGGCTCATGACAATTGTCTGTGGGAAAGGGGTTGTATGGTGGAAAATAATTTGTTACCCACAAAGATGTGGAGATGCTTTTAGACTCTATAGAGACTAGAAAGTGAAGACTGTGCAGCTCCTGTCTGTCTTTGGCCTGATCTAGCTCTTGTAAAACTATAGGATAGCAGGAGTCATTGAGTCACTAGAGGCAGGGAATTGACTATTTTAAGGCATCTTTAGTGATAGATTATATATATATGTATTCCACTTGAAGTCTGGGTTGAGTACTCAACACATTAGGGCCTCTCTAAAAGCCACCCTATCATCTCAATAGGTAAAAATTCAGGTTTTGTTCTGTAATGATGGAATGCCATTAGTTTGGTTTTCAAGGCATTGAATGAGACCAGCCTGTTCCCCCACCTCCAGACTTTTAAAGCTAGTTCAGCTGCCAATCTCTGGTCATCTTGAGTGTTGGAGGTGCACCTATATACCATTGTATCATCAGCATAGATATTGACAAGTAATCCAAGTATACTCTTAGGCAGATCATTTATGTAAAGTAGAAAGAAGGTTGAACTGAGATTGCAAGCCTTGGATCCCTTGAGCCTTGGAGAACTGGCCGTTAACAACTACCTTCAAGGACCTACCTGTTAGGAAGGACTGTTAAAATACTATGAAAAATTGAAGAGGTAAAAACATGATTGCATGTTGTCTGAATAATTTTTTATTTTTTTACTTTTCTGAAATGATTATCAAAAACGGACTTAAAATAAGCATTCTGATCTAAACTCAGATTACCTTAAAAAATAATCAAGAATTTCCTTTAGTTTACTCTTATGTAGTACATACAATCCTGAGAACAGTAACCTCGAGATCAAATAATTGATTGTTTTGTAGTTACCGAGTTTGATATATAAGTTGTATCATCTGATTTAATGATTTTCAGATTATATTTAGAAAATGTTGTTTTATCCTGAATTATTATCAATTTTTGAAGTAGGAGTAGCAAATAGATTTAAACATTTTCATTTTTAGGTTTAATGATTTATTGACAAGCTGCACCAACTTCATAATTTTCAGTTCATTGTTACAAACTTGGAGCTGCTTTAATGATATTTATTGAAATTTGCATCTCCAGAATCATAGATCTTACAACTATTTAAATAATCACTTCAAGTAAATGGCTTTTTAAATTATTTTTTTTTCTATATTTGAACTACCCCAGAGATGGTAGTGTATATTATATATAATAATCCATTATGCCATTTTTTGCTTAGCCAGTAAAAAACTAACAGCATTGACAGAATATAAAATTCAGTGAAATCAATCATATATATATAATATATATTAGTGCAGATATTAAAATGGAAATAATTGAACCCTGAATTAAAGAGGTTATTTTGGCTGAAGTTGTTAACTGTTATCTACCTCTTTTCAATTGTTCTTTTTTTTTTTTTTTTTTTTTTAATATGACTGTCAGTTCACTGAACTTACTCTTGTAGAAAAACTCTTTGCAGCAAAAAAAAAAAACAAAAAGAAAAGGATTATTAAAGTTTGTAAACAGCTTTTTATAGAAAAAGATTCTCCCCATGATCTTTCTCAGTGTTTGGATGTGTGGGTGGTGTAATGGATATTGGCTCAGAATGAGAAATCAAATTCCAGTTGGGTTTATTACTTTCACTTACACACAAACAACCTATGAATCTATCTCCTCCCCACCAGCTATGGACTAAATAGTAGGACTTGTCTCTTGAAAAAATCATTGTTATTCTCAAAATTAATTATTAATGCAATATTCAGTTGCAAGAAAAGAATTTTTACAATCCAAAATTTTTTTGGTTTTAAATAACTCACAAAGGGTTGATAAGCTGTAAAAAAAAATTCAATCCATTTTCAATGTCAGCAAACTGTTCATTTTATACATTTTTATATTATTTATTTGAAGAAATAGTCAATGTAAAAAAGTTACACCACCTAAAACTAAGTCCCTGCATGAAATAATTCCTTATATTAGGTTCATGTAATAGGATAGTCATTTAAAGTTTTTGTTAGAAAAATATATTTTACATTTATAGTTTTGAAGTACAGTGAAATAACTTTGCTATTCTTTGTAGGTTGTTATTGTCTTTATCATAGTTTGAGAATTTTCATTTTCTTATCACTTTATTTACTAGAAATAATTTTTATATAAGTTAGCTTATACAGGTAGGTAAAGTTTCTTTGTATGTTTGCCTCTAGAGGAAAGAATCATAGATGAGCATAGTTTGAGCCAAAAGCCTATCAACAGAAGCAATAATCCTTTTCTCTAAACCCAACAATATTTTCAGTAGCAGTTATTTCTAATAAAAAGAAACAATTTATTTTTAACCAGTTACAAGAAGATGAACAGGAACACGGAGAATACAGTGATGTAGCACGGTATGGAATAATTGAAATTGCAGGTATGTACCATTTTACTATTACTGTTTAATTTCTGTAAGTTCATCTTCACACACACATATATATATATATATATATATATATATATATATATATACACACACACACACACACACATACTATATGCAATTAAATATTGCATGAAAGAGTAACAACTGGTCTGAAACTTACTGAAATTGTAGACTATTTTTTAATATTACTCCATTAATGAAATTGAAACCTTTGAAATACAGTCAAGAAAGCATCTTTTGGTTTATCTACAGTTTTATAAGTCAGCAATAAAATTTTTTTTGATATCTAAAGTATAATGATACTTTGCTCTACAGGTTCAAATTACGAGAAAAAGGAGTATCTTTATTCAGACTCTCTTATCTGGAATTATCAAATAGGTTTTACATTTAAAGAAACAGTCTAAACAGTTATATCATTTTGATAGTATGCTGCAGTTTATTAATGTCATTCATGGAAATATTTTACTGCATCTATAAAATGTGTAAGCAAATACAAAGCAGCCAATATGGTAATTTGATGGCATTAATGGACAATCCATCTAATGGGGTTATTTTTACTCAACAGATTATCATCCCAATTTCACTTACTGTGATGTAGATGTGATTTTCTTGTAAATATTTTCATGTTTTATTCTAAATTTAAAATGAATTTTTAGAAATACAGAAAATGGAAGTGAAAAAGAAATTTAGGAAAAAGATTTAAAAAATAATTGATCAAAGTGTTTTTTTTCTCTCTCACTCTCTTTCTCTCTTTGCTAGAAGACAGTTTCAGGTGACAAATGTTTGTGTCTATATTTGTTCTGCTTTAGGTTAAAGAAGGCTTAGTCATTAGGTGGTTAGGTGGGTCAGGGATGGTCTGTGTGTATTGAGGATTGTGGGAGTGGATTAATCGATAGGATAAGAACAAAATTGTTTCTCTAATCTGTATCAAGATAGAAAACCAATTTTAAAAACATCACACACACACACACACACACACACAAAATGACCACAGGTGGTCATATTTGAAGTAGCCTGCTTTTCACCTTTTAACTCTTTCTCTTTTCTCAAAAGTCCACATGACCAAAAGAAATACTTAGGTAGAAGGAAGTGGGTAGGAAAGTCAGTAGATTTATGACTTACATTTCATTGTCTCTGGTCAGCCTAACCTTAGGCTTATTCAGTGAATAAAGGGTAAAGGCCAATTAATGTTTGTCTGAAAATTCAAATGAATGAAGTTTACTTGGAATTACCTCTTGGGAGTATGTGAAATCATAAATTTCTCTCATTGTTTAGTTTATATTTATGTAATTTATATAATGTCTTTTTAGATTATGTTTGTGAAGTGAAAAGGACTTTGATATTTTACAAATCATATTAATGTTAGTTACATAAGCAGGCCATACTTATTTTGCACTTGTATTAGTAACAAATTTTAAACAACTGCTTTTTAAATGTGATTGAATCATAAGTTGCATTATTCTGTTTCAAAAATTTATTTCCTCTTTCACTTTTTTGAATGTTTGAAATTTACCAACCACTGAAGTGGTTTAACCATGTTGCTTTGGATTCTTTGAAGAATGAAAGTCTTAACTAATAAGAATTAATCTGTGGAAATTATTTTTACTTGTTGTACTTGAGATATTGTAAATTTACTAAAAAGAAAGGTTACCAACTCAATATCATGTTCATATTTCAATATCTCAAATTATTCTTTATATTTCCTTTTTTACAGGTAGAAAATCTTAAATTGGATACTTTCTACCTATAATATTGTAGCTACCAAGACATCTTAGTTCCCTTTTTTTATTAATGTTAAGCAATGCAGCTATGTAGTCTTGTGACCAATTTGAAATGAAAGTACTAAATAAAAGCAGATCCATGTTCTCAAATGCAAAATGCATTAAGAAATCTCAAATTTTATTAAGTATGGTTTACATGAAAAACCAAATCACTACTTTTAATTGCTTTATATGAACCAAATTGAAAAATTCTGTCAGTAAAGTGTTGAATATTGGTTTTGGATTTTGTAGGTTTTATCTCATAGAAAATTTTTCTATTTTTTACTTTCTCTAAGACCTTAATTCTTTTGAAAGGATGTTAAGTGTACACTTTACCAATTTTCAAATATTTTGTTCATAATTTATTAGATTAGGTACTATTCTCCTTAATAGCATTTTTTCAGGACAATAGAAGTTACTTGGTGATGTCCAGCTGTTTTTTTTTTTTTGTTTTTTTTTAATGTTTTAATGTTGCCTCTGGTAGCAGAAATATGACTCCAACAAAAGGGGTCATCTGTTGGTAGTGGTTGGTTGATAATGTCTGAGTATGGGATCCTGGTGACTGAGTGGTTCATGATCCTGAAGTGAACATGTGATTGAAGGGTTCAATCCAATCAATTGGCTATTCACATCAAGCTCTAACACTTCAGGTTACTTTGCTGTTCTCAATCCAAATACCAAACCTATTTCCTCATGTGTCAAAAGTTGGTGGCTGATCACCATATCAATCACTTTGACATGGTTGTAAAATACCTGCAGTTACACTAAAACTTGGACAGAGTAGCTAATGATTTTCAAATGCTCAGTTTCCTTTCAATATGAGTACATTGTCTGTATCCCTTTCATGTACAGGTAAATGGCTTTCCCTTTTGACATTTCCTAATATAAGGTAGGTGGAGAGAATGGACGATGAGGCTTAATAAAGAAAAAGTATGGTATATAATAAACTATTCCAGTGACTAATTACATATTGACACTGATTTGGATAAAGAAAATGAACAAAGCTTGTTTAGATTCCCAAGGTTTCTGTGGCAAGAATCAATGGGGGACACTCCTTTGTCAAGATTATCACTATTCATTACAGAAAAAATTATATCCTCCAGACAGACATATTGTTGAGGATAGACATATTTCACAACATGATAAAAAGATACCACTACCAAACCCTCAACATAAGTAAGGATATAGAGGGAAGCATCAAACTATCTCGTTGCACACTGGATAAGATGAAATGGACCTTAAAAGTTAGTATTATAGACTTTAGAAGAATATATATAAAAAAGGAAGGTAAACTAATTCAGACAAATACAGTTACCTTCAACATTCCCAAAACACTAAAAGCAACCAAAATGGAATAGACTAGAGAGAAAGTGAGCTCTCCACTTTAAAATGACAGAAATGCATCATGTAACCAAATATATGGAACAATCAATATATGAAAGATACATACAGAAAGACCTCTGATGGAGAATATGACAGAATAATTGAATGGATTGTTATGGAGATCACTTGGCATATGCATGAACATGCGGAATCTGGAGGAAAAGAAAGAAAGGAAGAAATCATGAAAATGGGATACATAAGAAATGTACAATTCCCAGAGGCATAAAAGATAGAAAGCCAGACCAAAAATATAATCGTACTCAAATATTATGCAAAAGCCATCAACTGTAGCTAATACCAACCAACTAGATACATGACACACACTCACTGAGAGACTGCCAGAACTGGATGACTGGCCAACATTCATTTTAAAAACAAAAAATCAAAACAGAAACCCTGTATAATGTAAAACTATATCCAATAAAACAATGAAAAACAAAACGAACATGTTGCAACAACACCTCAACCAAGAACTTCTTATCATGACACTCAAAGATAACTTAACATACCAGTCCTGCAGACAGATCAAAGATTTTCAATTCAACCATCACCTCTATTGAAGGAGCTTCCTTGTCAATGACTATCCAAAAAAGCAATCAGCTGAACCAAAAATCTGAAAATAAACCATGTCAATGATGTCCCTCAAAGCAGAGCCAAAAACTCTGAAGATTCTCTGGAAATGACAAACAGTTTCAACATACCTAAAAAAAAAAAAAATGAATGGCAATATGCTACCACAAAAAATTAGATAAATCAAAAACACTCAATAAATCACTTTTATACTAGTTTATGATCCAAAAAAAATCATCCAGTATTGTTGACTAAAAATCAGCATTAATGAACTACTTTTGTTAATAACAGACTTATATCCTACAATTGTTTACCTTCAAGAAACCTTGCTTAAACATAAGAACATCAATATAAAAATCTACAGATAATACAATTACATGTTACTAGATGTAAGGCTTCTGGTAGTGTATCAATCTAAATTTAAAAAAAAAAAATCTAAATTAAATCTCAAAGCAAAATTAATGTTGAAACTAACCTACAAGAAGTTGGTGTTAAAGCAAACCTACAAAGGATCATTAAACTTTTGTTTCACAAATATACCATCACAAGGTCATAGTAAGTGAAAATGATCTCAACAGCCTATGAGATTGCTTTTGGATTTGTTCATCTTTCTGAGTGATCTTAAGTTAAATTATTATGTGACTATGTAGGAACACAAACCAAAAAGGTGGAAAAAAAAACATATCAATGGAGATGCCTCTTTACCAAGAAAACCCAAACACATCTCAACTCGGCAACTATTTACTATTCCTACAATTCACCTAGATTACTCTTGGATATGCAACACATGTGGTATCAATCACTTACCAATTATTCAAGAAAACTTGGAACCTAAAGATGGAAATTAAGTGGTGCTAACTGGAAAGAATTTAGATCCCAATAGAACATAATTCAAAATGACAATATTAAATCCCAATGAATCACTTCACAGAAATACTAATCTCCATTGCAAAGGAATGCATGCCATTTCAACTTGGACTAATGTAACAGCTGCAAAGAAACCATCAGATTACAAACAGCTTTACACAAATTCAAGTCATCTTACAACTTCCAATTTTATCTCCTTCAATCTATAGAGAACAAAATCACACAAAACAATACCAAGAAAAGTCAAGAAGGAATGTTGAAAAAATATGTAAGCAAACATTACTTCTATAAAGTAAAAATAGTGTAAGATAAGAAAAATCTACATTAAAAAACAAAGGAAAAATTTTCCCTAAAACATATTTCCACAAACGGTATCAAAGTAACTAGTCAGAAAGGATATTGCAGATTTACTAGGCAAGGCATTTTCTAGTTCTTCTAATAAGAATGGCACTCAAAAAATAAATTTAAGATGACAATATTAAAAACCCAATTAATCACTTCACAGAAACGCTAATCTCCATCACAAAGGACTGCTTATCCATTTCAATAATTCCTAAACATCAAATAGAATTCTGAAAAATACAAACCATTCACCTTTGCAGAGCTTAAAGCCTCTATCAAAAAGTCTAAAAGAGATTTATTTGAAAATTATTAGTATCATATAAGAATAATTAAAACAATTTAACTGTGTGAAAATTATTTATATTAACAAAAGTTACTTGAAGTTATAACTGTTTACAATTTTCTATTTCATAGTATTTTTTAATACCAAGTTAAAAAAAAAAAATCATTTCACAAGTTCTCAATTTTTTTTTTTTTTTAATTCCTCATTGCCTTTTCTGTCTGGGTATTTTTGGCTTATGCACACTTTTAATAGATTAATGCCTAAATTTTGTTTATTTCTTTTAATAATAATTTTTTTTTTATCTTGATGTTTAATGTTACTATATTATGGAAACTCTTTGGGCAATTAGTAGAAAAGGTGACAAAAATATACAAACTACTTACTTTCTAAGAAACCTTTCTAATTGAATACAGTAAAATTTTTGTTAGAAAAACCAATATATTTGAATTTTGTCTTTTAAAATGTGCATGATCCAAATCTTGATTTAAAACAATGGAGGCTTAGGCAAAGTATATATTGTAAGATATTTTATGTTGGTTGGTTAATTTAATGGCATATCAACCTTTGTTATATAATGTCAAATATAAGTCTTACATGATAAAAATCACAATGAATTAATAGATAAGTAGAGACGGGTTGAGTTTATACTCAAGTTGAAAGTTTGTCATAATTCCAGTTTATGTTAGAATTAGAAGATTGGCATATCATGTCTTCAGATTATACCAGCATCTGGAAGCATCCAACTGAAGGTGTCTTTCCCATTTTTCTTTTGGGGAAGGATCTTTACCCCTCTGTAGTTATGCAGACAGCATATTCTAAGCCCTATCAACAGTACAATGATTCTTTTTAATGATTAAAGATAAAATTCAACATTTCTGCTGAAGTTCTCAATACATTTGAAACTTTTTTCCTCTTTATAATTGTTAATTTCAACTGCTTTTGTACATTGCTACTTGGTATTATAAAAATTTATAATAAAAAAGAAATGTGTAAATTACATAAAGAATAATGATGCAGTTTGTTTATTGCATTTTCTTTTGAGATGAGTATTTAAAAATAATTATAAAAATAAAGCCAGAGGGTTAGTTAATAAATAAAAATGGCTTGAGTAAATTTGATGTGTAAAACTTTGTATATGTGAGACTAAAATCTGATGTCATAAATATGTCTAAAATGAATCCTGACGGTTACATATGTAATGTATGTTAAAAAAAAACAAAAAAAAACTCAAGTCTTATGATCTCAAACCCAGCTAAATAAAGTTTGCAAAGAGACGCGTAGTTTAAGAGATACACTTTGTGAATTTTTAACCACCAGAGAAAGTAAATTGCAAACTTGAAGGTATCAAATTTCTGTTTCATTTGGGAACCATTTCATGACTATTTAAGAATTATAGCTTGCCAGACTGACAGAAAGAAATTAGCTTTCACATGTGAAGGAGATCAGCTGGTTGATGGGATGCAGAAAGCAGAAGAGTATTGACTTTCACTGGTAAAATGAAAAGGTTTCAGCATTCACAAGGACAATGCTGACATGCACTATAATGATGAAAAGGAACAAGAAGAAAGAAAAAATAAAAGCTGATCACACTACCACAAACAAGAAACTGAAAAAGATTGACAAAATTAGAGGTATTAATCTTGATTTGAAACTTTTATAAAAAACGAGATTTATCTCGATACTCAATTTCAATTTAAAAACTAAATTATTGTTTGTTACCCAGAAATGCTTGTGAATTTGTGTTCCTTTTCAAAGGTTTTTGACTATTGAATATATGAAACTAACTGAAGATTTTTTTTTTTTTTTTTTTTTTCAATTGTTTTTACTTTTTATGAGCATAACAAATTATAATTTTAGAACTTGTTATCATGCCAAATTGTAAGGGGCACAAAGAAAGATTTTGTGCAAACTTGTATTTTAAATTATGTATTCTATTTTATTTATTGTGCCATTTAATAAATATAAATTTTTTTCAAAATTCACATCTGAGTAGAAGTCTCCTCTTGTTTTGATTTGTACCTTTCACAATACTTTGGATAAGAAATGTAATGTTTTCTCTTCACTCCCTATAATAAAAATCCTTTTGATATTTTTTATTTTCTTTTTCATCTTCAGGTGATGATGTCTATGGAAGAAAAGTAATCATTTTCTCTGCATGTCGACTGCCATCAAGTAAAGTTCTTGATCACAGAAGACTTCTTTTGTAAGTGCATTATTTTCTTTTTTTAATTCCATGTTATCTCAACCAAGTTACTAAAGAGTATTCTTCTCTCTCTCTCTGTTCTACAGGTTTGTTAGAACAAAAACAGAGGAGTTATGTGAAGTGTCCAAAGGTGTTTGTGAGCATAATCAAGCTAAAATAGGGGAGAGACAGAATGATTAGCATGCACATTATTTTAAAAGGGTAGGATGGTTACACTCTCTGGTTGATGCAAAGTAAAAAGACCCTTTGGCACAATATTGTAAAGTTTTTTTTTTCTGTTTTGTTACTTGTTAGTATATCACATACAGTCTATGTATGTATATATTCTTCTTCCTTAGTTATCATGTCCTTTCAGATCATGTCTCTCCATAGCTTCCTTTTAATATTTGTAAGTTGTAAATTATATGACTGTTTTAAGGAAAAATGGATTCCCTTTGCTCTCTATTTGGGTTTGAATTCAGCTGCCCCCCTCTATATAGCTGTTAATCAAGATTAGAAAACTGAATCTGCTATACTATTTAACCCATAGCTGAGATATAAGCTTATACCCATATATAAAATCTTATATATTTAGCACTGAATACAAAAATATTTGATAAGTTTGAAATGGGGTCTAAATTTACCATCTCACTTCTGAAGGTTTTTTTTTATCAATTTTGCATTTCAATCAGGCTGGCTCAAAAGTTTCTGACATACTTCCAAGTTTCTATTTGTTTGTTTTATCATTCTGTCGTAAATATGCTTCTCAACATTCTCATATTTCCTCCTTATGTCTCAGATACATGAAGTATACATTAGACCAGTATGTGGAAAATGATTACACACTCATCTACTTCCATTATGGATTAAACAGTCGCAACAAACCGAAATTTACTTGGCTTGTGCAGGCATACATGGAATTTGATCGCAAGTGAGTCACTCTTATCTTGACGTTTTTTTTTTGTTTTTAATCATTTCACCCCAAGCCATGGTGGGGTATCAAAGAAATTACATGTATTCACTTACAGGTCATTAGAAGGATGTTAAATATCTAATAGATATAATTTCAGTTTATTTTTATGAAAAACTATAACACAGATTATGCCAACATTTTTTCTTTTCTTTTTACTAAACTTATGTAACTGATATTTTGATCAATCCATTTTTCTGCCCTCATTGAATAATAATGTTGTTCATTTAAACACACTCATTCCTATAATGAGCCAAATTTCTGTCCATCATTGTTATTGCAATCTTATAAACTTATGCCATTATTCCTAATCCATAAGGAGACTGCACAATACTGTAATATTGATAGATTTCATGTAGACATCTGTTAATGAATCCAACATGTAAATGTTGGTGGTAACTCTTTATTTTCAATCCAAATTGCTTAAAACTCATAATAGAATCTGTGTGACTTGCTCTAAAAAGCAATAGAAATTAAGATGAAAGGAATACTAGTTAATATGAAAAAAAAGACTATTTTATATTCATGAATTAAATTTTGTATTAACTCTCAGTTGTATTAGATGTGCTGAGTTGTTTGTTTTTGTTACTTGCCTTTTCCCAAAGCAAAACACCATACTTAGCTTTGTTGCCAGAACATCACAATTTACTAAATTTAATTTAATTTTGTTATACAAGATTTTATTAATTATTTATATCTCATTGTATTTGCATTACAAAAACTAATTTATTCATTCTTATCTGTATCTCATAAAGTTCAAATACATTCAAAGTATGGTTTTTATGAGAAAATAAATTTTGAGAAATTTTTTAAAATGCACTAATTTTTTGTTTAAAGTAAATCTTATTTCTGATCATCTTCTTTGCAGATATAAGAAGAACCTTAAGGCTCTCTATCTGGTTCACCCAACCTATTTTATTAAAATCTTATGGACATTCTTCAAACCTCTTATTAGGTAAGTTTCTTATCTTCATCCATTAAAAGAAAATTAGACAGCTTCTGTTACCTGATAGTGTGCAAGTAATATTTATTTTACTTTTAAATTGGATAAATTCCTCAATTCTAATACTTAAGTATATGAAATACCTTGTTCAATTAATTTATTAAATAATAATCAAATTATTTATGTTTATAATAGAATTATAAGGGGAAAAAATACATATTGTTGAAAATTTCTTGTTTTTAATCCTTTTACTACAGGCAAAGCAATAAAAGCCACTATGATGCAAAAGGTTATTGAAAGTGAAAGAAAGAGGACAAGAGAATAGGATTCATGGAGATGATTGATATTGCATTTAAATGTTTGATGATTGTAGTTGACAGGAAAGCTGGAAGAGTTCTGCAAGCAAAATGTGCGGGAGAAGCTATGAGCATAAAACTTATGGTTACACATAGCAATTCCAACAGTAAAATTATGAGACGTAAATATCAATCTAGTACTGTGCTTAAATTTGAGAAGTCAACGTACTTAGGAGGAGAGCTTATCAGAAGAATTACTGTGAAAATATTTATAGAAAAACACAGGGAAGCTATATTACAACAATGGGAAAGTGACTGAAGCTGAGATGCCAGGTCAGGACTGATAACATTGAAGATTTTTTGAGGGACTTTGTCCAGAATCTCTAGATATATAGCAGAAGCAGCAGACAGGATGTAGCAGCAATATTCAATGCACAGACAAATGGTAGACTTATAAAATACGCAAGATAGATTCTGGAAAGAAAAATTGTAAACTGACTTTCTTAGCAGCAAACTTAGCAACTGACTCAATATAATCTTTCCACTTTATGTAAGTGGAAAACATGAGACCAAGAAGGCACAGTGAGCTGCTCTTCTAGTGGTTAGAATCAGCCATGTTAATTGAAGGCAAAAAAAGTTCTTTAAGATGATTGAATGAGAGCAGTTTCATTTTGGAGGTGTTAAAATTAACAAGCCACTTCTTGTCCCAGTTAAAACAGATTGAAGGTTATATTTGAGATCAACTGCCAATCTGATTTTTATCAAACCTATCAGACTTTCAATTAAGACCAGGAGTAAATAGTTGTCATCAGCATATATATATATATATATATATATATATATATAAAGTCAGAAGCTAATGACATCAGGAAGGTCATTGATGAAAATTTAACAGTATGTGTCCAAGAATAGAGTTCTGAAAATGCCTGCATTGATGCAAAAAGATTTAGAAGAATGCCCATTCAAGACAACCTTCATTATGCAATTTGATATGGATTGATTCAAAGCAAAGAAATGGCTAGAAACTTTTTCAATGTTTTTCTCTTAGTTTCAAAATATTCTGTTAAAAAACATTACAGTTAATCTTTCTATTTTGCTTTTGCAATAATGTTACATACAGCCTAACTCAAGAAATGTTATAATTGGAATTCTGTGTGTATCTATCAATTGATTGATGTATGTATGCTTAAAATCCTTAGCATAACACATTGGTTGCATTTTTTATCAAATTTACAATAAAGATTAATCTTGGAATGCTTGATAACTTTGTCATCACTTTTTACTTAATGGTGTACAAAATGTTAGAAATACTGCATCTTACAATATAATTTCTGTCCTTAATTATTTTGAATTCTTTGATTATGTATTTTCATTATTTTTTGCCATGTTTTCATTGTGTTGCTTCATCTTAAAATTTAAAATAATTTATATTTTTACTATATAAACAAAAAAACAATCTATTTGGAGTGATGATGTGGCAATGACTGTACATTTATGCCTTATGTAACCATAGGTTTCTCTGGTCAAATTGGTTAAGGCATTGAAAGACAGGCTTTTGAGATATGGGATGTGAGTTCAAGTCTTGTTACAAACTGCTACTCTATGTTTGCTTCCACCTAATTCAAGAGTTTGAGTATTTTTTGTGGCCTTGTTATGGCCAGAAATAAAAACACAGGAATTGAGTTAAACAAATATATTAACAGAAACAGTAATACAAACATTTACAAACGAGTGTTACAGCAAGAATGTTTGGTCTGACTGTCAGAGCTGACTGCTGGAAACTTCCCTCTCCAAAAGGCAGTACCTGTTCCTATTTATAGCTGGTAGAGTCCATGCATGCATGGGTAAATTACCATAACAGTATTAAACCTCAAAAAATGTGATGAAAAGCAACAATATGAAAAAAAAAAAAAACAGCCAATTCACAATTTTGGATCCCTCTTGATATTTTAATATTTACTTTTTTATTCATTAATTCTTTTTAAATATTTATGTAGTTTCACTTTTTGCTTTGTTACTTTTTTATTAGTTTTTTTTATTTAAACCTATTTTTGTTGATACAATCTAATGCAACAGGTATTCACTTTCATATCACATTTTATCAAATTTTGTACAAAAACGTTTTGCGAATTTACATTATCTTAATTCTTAGGCCTAAAAATTTTCTGAGCAAATTATTTGTGACTTTGATAATTTTTTATATTTTCAGTTTTATATTTTGATTTATTTACAGTGTGAAATTTGGGAAAAAAGTAATGTATGTAAATTACCTTCATGAGCTCAAAGAACATCTTCATTTTGACCAACTGGTTGTGCCACAGCCCGTGTTAGAGTGAGTACAAACAGCTTTTAACATTTTTATATATTTTGGCAGAAATATCTAAAATAAGAGATGTTTCAGTAACAGATGTAAAAGAAATTCCTTTTTGAGATATAAAAATTGTACAAAAGTAATTTTCATAATTTGAGAACTTAAAATTTAAACATTAAATTACATAAAATGTCATTATTCTCACTTTAAATAACAAATTAATAAGTAGAATATCTTTATGTAAGTCTATATCTTATCGATGGTCACATTATTTTTTTTTTTAATATTCACCCAATACAAGACCTAAGAGCCACTCAAGGTATAGAGTTACTGTGTGGTGTTGTAGAAGTCAAGATTTAATTAACATTTCAGTCTGAGTTCATTCAGTCTGAGATAGTAGAAGTATAGTGTAGAAGTAGACTTTAAAAGTAACCAGAAACCCATATCTTCAGTTAAAGATGGCAAAAGATTTTGACACAGTATTTCTTTAATGAAACAATCATTTGTGTGCATTTTTGAAATATCTGAAAATGTAAGAAAGAATATGCTTTAATGTCCAAATTTGTTAAAGATAAAAAATATTTCATTATTGTGAATTCTTGTTTCTTTACGACAAAAGTGTCCAATGCAAGAGTTCAGTCATATGATTCCTAATAATGTAATAATAATGTTCAGAGAATAGTTTAGCTCCATGGGTTTTGTTCAAAAGATTTTAAACATAAAGAGTAATTCACTATTTTTTTGTTGATACAATTTTAGAAAACATTCATTATGATTGGCTGACTGTTGCTGTAAAGTTTGTTGCTTTATAATCCTTATTAAATCTTAAATATGATGTAAAATAACTTTTTTATTCTTGCAAATTTGTTTACTAAAATCTTTTTTTTTTTTTTTTTGCTGTCTTTGTAGACATGATGCGCGTCTTTTGTCTGCAAATAAACCACCCTACCCTTACACAGACACGAACACCAAATTCTCAACACCGCTGAAGACACAACAGTTTGGCGTTACTCTATCTTTGTGAGTAGAAAGAATCATTAGTTTATTTTCTTAGTTTCATTGGTTTATCTTCTGTTTTTTATTAGCGCTTAAAAAAGGATTGTGAACTTTTTCGTTCTTATCACATTTATATCACAATTGTTATTCATTCCTGCAAATTGTGGAATATAGCATTGCAATTGCACCATTTGATGCTGCTATAGCAAGTTTTCATTTTTTTTTTTTTTTTTTTTTTACAAGGTAGAGTTGTCTATCTCCAAGGCTGGTTGCCAACCAATGTGAGAGTTCACTCTGCCCTGCTATTTTCCCTCCCATGTCCAAGAGAAAAGAGATGAATTAATGCCCTTACCAAGGTTATTTGTATCAAGTGAATGCAAGTATTCTTGATCAGATTTTAAACTTGGCTTACCAATTCCATTCTCTAAGATGTTAACCATTTTGCTGTCTACATCTTCACTTTCTCTTTCAATATTTTGATACCTTCCCTATAGATGAATACATCTTGTCAACTTTAGATTGCACTTCTGCCCAGTTTTTCTCAAGCTGGAGATGGGTTTGAACACGATCCCTAAGATGCGAAGAAGTCCATCTGTCCACTCAGAGCCCTCCCTTTCCATGCTGCAAGCCTCAGTCCAACAGATTTGGATCTATTGATCCTGCACCCTGTCATTCATTCATAGTGCTGAATTTCTGTGCTTACCCACCTTATGTCCTAGTGGCTGGACATGCAGACACCCTGGCTGTTACCTCACCTGACAGTCTAATTTCTTGGATTGAGACTCCCTTTTAGTTTCAGGAGGGAGGTTTCCAGCATGAGGTCATAGAGCAAGGGTGATAGAGGACAACCCTGCCTAATGGACTTCATGATGTTGAACGGCTTGGACCTTTTGCCATTCACTTGTACTACAGCACTGGGAGCTTGGTATAAGAGTCTAATCCATGTGCAAAAGCCTTTGCCAAACCCAGCAGCCTCTAGTGTGGCTTTCAGGAAATGATGGTCCACTCTACCAAAGGCCTTTGACTGGTCTAGGTTGACCAGTGCAGCACCCATGCTATCTCATCCAGGATGGTGTGCACCAGGTGCAGATTGTCCTGGATTGTCCTTCCCTTCATAGTGCATGTTTGTTCAGGGCTGTTCAAACCTGTCCACAACAATCTGCAGACAGCTTGTCAGGATCCTGGCCAGAATCTTGAGGTCAGTGTTGAGGAGTTATAAACCTAAAGCCCTCCACCCTATTTCCTTTGTGGTTATCTTTTGGTGAATGTTTTCCTGATTGAACCAGTTGTTGAAAACTTTTGCCAAAAAATGAACAAACATATGTGGCATTTTGAGGTAAATTTCATAGGGGAGGCCATAAAGTCCTGGAGCTTTGTTGGTACCAACTTGCCTCAGAGCAGTGACAATCTCCCCTTCCATGCCTCATGTGGTTCTAATCTGGGGAAATCAGACAAATACTCTTGGAAAGATGTCTCCTGCAGATCAGGCTCCCTGGCACAGAGGCCATTAATGTACTCTCTGAAACTGCTGCAAATACTAGCTGCTGATTGTAGCAGCCATCTATCAGGGGTGGTGATTTCCTGGATGAAATGATCTGTTCCTCATTGGAGGTCTTCTCTGCACAGTTCTGAGCCCATATTTATGGCTTTGGATGACATCTTTTACAGTCTGACTCTGACCACCTGATCCTGATATCATGCACTATGTATGTTTAGTTCCTCTCTGGCCAGTTTTGCAGCATGATGGTTTCCTTCCACCATTGCTAATGCAGCTCTGTCATGTAGGCTGCTTCATTTTGTTTGGTTTCCAGACCGAGCTTCTGATCTTGTACTCAAGTACAAGATCAGAAGCTCGGTCTGAAAACCCACCACTACTTGCTGCTGACAACTTTCCCAACAAGTTCTCACTAGATCAGGTCTGTCAGTTTTTGGTAGAGGACAGGCTTATCAAAGAGAGACATATTCATCTTCTAATAGCCCGCCATTTTGACTTTGTTTCCCAGTTTGATATGGATGAGAACCCTTTTGTGATCTGAGTATCCCAACCAACAGAACGATGAGCAACCTGTAAAGTTGAGGTTAACTTTATGAATCAGCACTCAGTTTAGATAACTTGTATTGCTGGTAGAGGACCAGTTGTGCACCCATGTTCACATTTTGCAGTTTGGGTGATCTGCTCTGAAATGGTCAGCAAGGTCAGTCAGGAGGTCTTGGAAAGCAGTGTAAGGAGCCACTCTAGAATGAGTGCATGGTCCTTTATCCACCTTGGGGTCAAGGGTGGCATTCCAGTCCCCGATCAAGACCAAGTGGAGTAGTCAAAAATGGACCAAGTTGTCTCAAAAAAGAGCATTGCTCTATTCCATTATTGGGGGCATATATGAGCAACCAATCAGAAAGAGCTGCCACTACTACTCATGTTCACCATAACCAAGCACTCATTTGTCCCCCCTGCCTGCACTATATGCCACCTGCATCCAGAGACCGGCTGACCAAGATGGAAACCTCTGCACACAGTTATACCCATAAGCTGAAAAGACGTCAAACTTGTCTTTCAGCACATGGGTATTCCTGTCACAGGTGAAATGGGTTTCCTGGATTGCAGCTACATTCACACTCAAGATCTTGAAGCAGGCATGCTGTCTTACCTCTGCCCTCAAGCCCTTCACATTTAAACCCGCCAATCTAAGAGACCTACCTTTTTAGCTAGTGCTGCCGCTGGTTTGCTCAAAGTATTCTGGCAAGAGCTTCCCAACAGCCTGACCGAGATTGCTCTGCCCCAGTTCTTTGTCTATCCATCCAAGGGTGGTGTTAGTTCCACCCACATCAAGGAGAAAAGTCAATTTCAGGGCCCTGTAAAGGGATGGGTGCACAAACATGAGTGTTCTCCCCATGCATTCTGTTGCCAGTTCTTTTGCACGGAAGCTCTTCATGTCCACTAGCTACATGTTTGGAACAGCATCCTTTGGTGCAGCAAGTATCCTCCATGCCTTTGAACACCCAGAGGGGTTCCTCAGGAATGTCATTAATATCTGACATTGAGGGAAGTTGGCAGGATTCTCCACATTCTTCCTTTCTACACTCTGGAATTGATACAGGGAGCAAAGAGCTGACTTGAGGTGTACTGGACGGTCATTTTCCAGCAGACGCTCCTCCAACACACACACACACACACACACTCCCTTGTTGATGTGTAATGCATTTGGAGGAGGCTTTTCTCCACTCTCTTTTGCTCCTTGTTTCTTTTGCAGAGCTGGATGTTTCAGATATGTGGTATCAATTCCATCTTTGTTTTCATCCTTGCGTCCCTTCTTTCTTTTCCTTTTTTGGGATGGAGTTTGCAGATGTTCAGTTAATTGCTATAACTTCTCAACTGGTTTCCTGGATTACTGTGTCAGTTTCCCCCTTCTCTTCAGTTGGATACCCTGGTTCAGACACTGGAGTTGGTGTAACCTTCCCTTTATAGACAACCTCAGTTCACTCCTCTTGTTTAACAGTGTCATTCACTGGAGTCTACATTTCTGCCAGCTGCCCACTTCAGTTACTCTGGGCCTAATTACTGAGCTTGGGCATGCTGCTGCCAAGTGTCCAGGTTGCTTGTAGATCCAACAGAATGGCCTCTTGTGGTATAGTTCCTAGTCTACTATCTGCTGACAGAAATTGTGGTCAACTCTTCCAGCTGCCCATACTTTGAGAGGAAAGCTGCTAGCTGTTCTTCTTCAATTCATATGGGGACACTGTAAAAGTTCATTTTTTTTGTACTACTGTCCCCAATACACAAGTACAAATTTTATACCTCTTAATGTGTAAGCTTTACACGTTTCAGCAGTGCCTAAGAGTAGTTGTCATGTCAGATAGCTATGCCTATGGATATATTTAATATCTGCTTTTAGGGTGAATAGCACCTCTTCTACTGTCTTTTGTCTAGCTTTCCACTCCTGGTGTCCATTGCCACAAGAGAAATTATCTTTGATTTTATTGCTTCTAGTGTGCATGAGTAAACCAAAATTTCATCTTTCTTTACATACTCCATGTATTTTGGGGCCCATTTTAGAAGTTTGTTTATTGACCTTTGCCCCCACAGATCTTTCTGTGAGGGCACTGTCCCTTAGGCAGTCTCTTCTGGTCCAGAGACAAGTGTTTGGCCATTCATTTCTTGCTTCTTCATTGGCCTTTCCTCCACCTTGTTGCAGTTCCTTCTCAGGTTTCAAGGATTGGCAGCGAGAAGCTGCTCTTAATTCCTGCTTGGAATTAATTGGTAAGGGGGAGCATCCTGGTTTGCCATCCCTCCATGAAATAATTGACTTCTGTGTTTAAAATTATCTGAATGCTGGCCTTGTTCACTAAACCAGAAGGTAATGTTCAGACTGTCCAATACAGATAACACTTTGATCTTAGCCAAGAGGCCCTAGAAACACTCTGGACCACAGAACACTTGTTTTATTTGATTTTGGGTTTGTTTTTTTTTTGTTTTTTTTGTTTTGTTTTTTGTTTTTGTTTTTTTTGTTTTGTTTTTTTTTTTGTTGCTTTTGAGGCTTCTTTATATCCTGAATCATTCTTACAACAACATTCATGAAGCTTTTTCTTCCAGTTGTTTTTAAAAAATGTGGGAGGGCCAACAGGATGCAGCATTATCACCCACTAGTAATTGTGGGTTTTACAGGGCTGGGTTGCTAGTTGTACAATGCCAAAAACTCCAACTGCTCTACTATGAATCCATGGATGTGGGGAGAAATGGATTCATGATTTTTCCAAGGGCATTAGTGTAAAGTGAATACAAAATATCGAGCTGGCATTTGAATTTTATTTGCCAATTCCAGTGATTATAGTATTAGGCCACCAACAACTCTGATAAAACTCATCTGAATTTATCTTCAGCAATTGTTTTTGAAGTGTGGCCTTCTAGAAGACTTGAATTTAATTAACATAAAAGTTGTGGAAAAACAAAAGTTTTTTTTTTTTTTTTTTTTTTTTTTTTCATGTTTTTCATTACTGATATGTTAACACTGCAGGATCAAATTAAATGAAAATTTTTAAGCAATTTAACCCATATCTTCATAGCATCAATTTAAACTAATGTCATTTATTTTCTCGTATATATAAACTATAATCTTGGAAAGTGAAAATTTCACTGAAATATGTTGGAAAATTTTCAAGTTTTCACCTGAAATTGAGAAAATATGAGTTTTATAATAAAATGAGAAAGATGTCAATACCAGGAAGATATGGTTATGGCTATTAAAAAAAAATGTATGACAGCTTTACGGCCATAAGTGAGCTCTTGGTAGTGTATAAGTCTATTTATATTTCAAACATGCTCTAAACACATTATTACTATAGTATAAGAATAATTGTAAATAGTGAAAAGTTTTACAATTGCTTTGATTTTTGTTTGTGATTTTTTTTTTTCTTCCTTACCATATTAATATTAATTTAAACATTTTTTGTTACATAACAAAAGCATATTCTAGTTGACTTAATGAAATGCTGGACAGTCAGTTTATGATCAGAAATGGGAGCATTTCTATTTGATTAATATCAGTTGAAGAAAGTCAAGCTTTGAAAGATATATATCCCCCAAATTGTTTGCTAGTAGTATCAATAAATAAGCTTTTTATTATTTTGTTTTTTTAAAAGTTTGCATGCAATTATCTTCTTGATTCAGTTGTCTATTAAATTAAACACCTGAAAATAGTAGGCTGAACCATTTATTATGATCTCGATATTAGCTACAGTCATGTGACATTGTTGCTTTAGATTTATTCAAGAAGAGCTAACAATTTGTTGGCTCTGACCTTCTCAGTAGTTGACTATTTAACATGGCACAATAACAAAGGACATTACAATAAATAACCATTGATTTCAATGTTTGCCACATGCATGATTTTATAAATTTAAAACTGTTTTTTAACATTCATGAAAGAAATGAAACTTGATCTAACAGGATTAACTCTTACAGGCTAAAATGTTTGAAAATATAAATTTAAAATAAACTTGGACGAAAATGTTAGTCACAAAAAAAAATCTTTTTTGTAATTATTTATTTACATAAAAAAATACGGCACTATTTTTGGTTGTTTTTATATTTCAGTATACAGAAAAATTCTGGACAGGTTCTTCCCCCAATTGTTGTCAACACAGTGGAATACCTTCGAAAGAATGGTAAGTTAGTGAGGCCAGAGTGTGTATGTATGTAAATAAAAGACAATTTTGAAAACTTCTATTTTGGCATGTTTTGCCAATGATTCTATGTCATCCAAAATGACTTCAGTTCAACATAAGATATATAAAATGCAAAAGAATGAAACTAAGGCAACTTACAATGAGTGATTGTCAGGCCAGGTTAAATCTTGGCAAGTATCAATTAATGCTCATAGTTTACACGCTTAAATATGGGGAACTCCTGTTTTGTTTCATCCAGGTTTCATATTAGCTAGAAAATGATTTTTTGCAGACATACATGATGTCTTTATTTCAATTTTCTTGTTCAAGAGCAAGCCTGGATTCAGAAACATCAATATCACCAACATTTCATAATTTTTCTTTCCACATTTGTGTGTGTGATAAAACATATTTTTAAGGTATGCTATATTTATAGGTTAAAGTGCACAATATCAGGTATAGAGCATATGTAAATATAAAAGTGGACATTGAAGTGAATGCCCAGAGGCAAAAGTTTGTTTCATACTAAGCGCATGAAACAGACTGTCACCTCTGCATGTTCACTTCAATGTACACTTTTGAGATATATATATATAAAATCTTCCAAGCATAAGACCATCTGGATGGGGACTGAAACTTTCAAGTTCAACCATCAACATGAAGAGGAACTGCGATGTACTAACAGGAGGGATGGACATACACAGCTGTATCCACTACCCACACTCCTCAGTGATTTCTGCTCACAATTCATCAAGAGTAGGCTGGGCCTTTACAGGCATCACCACCACCAGAGGGGAGAAAGGGAATAAGGAGAGAGGATAACGATCTTGAGGCTCAGATGCCAATGAGGTGTGTGTGTATATATATATATATATATGAGAGAGAGAGAGCATAGTAACTACAAAAGAAATGAAATTATTTATCTATGTATCAATCAATATTGAGGATCAGTGTTTCTCTTTTCTAAGATCAATGCATTATCTGTGCTTTCTGTCTTACGTAGAATTTGCATATTAATTAAACTGTGCTATTCACAAAGCATGACACTTGATATGTCACTTGCATTGTTAAATTCAGGTTAGACATTTGAATCCAGGTCAAAGTCTCTGAATTTTGTATATCTGTTATCTTTAGCATGACAGAAGTTACAAATAGCGGCTCACAACTAATCAAAAGGAGTGGCAATGTTGACAAAATCATAGAAAGCAAGCTTTATTCTGAGTGGGTGTTGGGTCCTAAAGAGAGAGTGATGCATTACCACATAGCATATCTAAATTTAGATTTTGTTTTTTAAAGGTGGAAATTTTGAATGTTTTTAATTGATCTCATTTACGAATCTTCATTTTGAAAATTCAACTGCATATTTTTTTGAATTGTTCAAAGATATCTTTTAATATATTGTTCTTTAAGATATTAGAACTAAAGATCTTTACTATTTCATTTCAGCCATGGACATTGAAGGTATATTCAGAAGATCTGCTAATGCTTCTATGATCAAAGAGGTTCAGAATAAAATTAATGCTGGTGAGTTATAGAATAACTGGGATTGTTCATAACAGTGAATGTCATCTGTCTTCACAAAAAGTGATAAATTGAATCTTCATCAAATGATTCACATCACTGAAAAATCCAAATATAGAAAATGAAAGGGAGGTAACTGTTATATCTGAATGGTGCTTTTCTGTTGTGTATCATTTAAAAACTACACCCATTAATTTGATTGTGTCATTTGCATAATAACATTGCTTAATATTTTTGTTCTGCTTTATTTAAAACTGAGTAAAAAAAAAAAAAATATGAAAAACAAACCCATTTAAATATGTCATATCCAAAATACATGCAAAAATAAAGTAAATACGGTGGAGTAATGGATAGTGGCTCAGACTGAGGAATCTGAGAGGCAAGTTTGAATTCCAGTCGAATCCATTACATTCACTTATGGGCAATACCCTTTGGGAAGGTATGAATCCTCCTCTTCTCCCCCAGCTATGAGAAAATAGCAGGACAGACCGGGTTCTATAGCCTTGGATGGCAACTGGTCTAATGCAGAAAGAAATGGTAACCTACTGTGGGAAAAAATCTGTTCAACAACAAAAAAAAAAAAACTATGAACTTCCTGGCTTTAACTGATTTGAACATTAAATAATCCTCTTAAAGAAACCAACTGACTTGTCAGTCGTTTATAACCAACAATCAAATTAATGGATGTAATTTTAAGTGATGCATAATTTAAGAAAAGCTTTCAGATGTAAAAGTTCTCTCCTTTTAATTTTCTTCACTTAGATTTTTTTCTGTAAAGTGACTCATTTGACAATTTATCGATTTTGGTGAAGCCAGTTTTCAGGTAAATGTCATTCGCTGTTATGATTACCTACCAAAATAACTACTTGGAAACTGTTGACAAAACATCTTGGAAGAAATGTCTCTTCAAAAAGAGTAAAGGGAAGAAAAAATATCTCAATTAATATCAAATATAATTTTTGTTTAAGAATTAATTTTGAAAATAATTTTTCAAAAAATATAATAGCTAATGTGACCAAGAGATTTTCCTACCTCACTGATCTTTTCACAGTATGTTTGCCTGAAAGTTCAAAATAAATTTCCTTTTTCATGCAACTGTCAACATCTGCTGCACTGGTAAATTTCATAATACTCCTTAAGAAAATAATACATGCAGTAAGTGATAATTCCAGTTAATTCCTAAGTGATAGAATGTAAAGAAAGTTTTGTAATTTGGTTTTTTTTTTCCAGGTGAAACAATAAATTTTTCTGAATATGATGTCAACATTCCTGCTGTCATACTGAAGAAATTTCTGAGAGAACTTCCTGAACCAATTCTCACTTTTGATCTAGCTGAACCCATTACTCGACTCTATGGTAAGTTGTTCATAGTTAAGAGAATCTATTTTTATGAAAGAAACTTCTCCTAGTTCTGGCTCATTTAGATAAAAAAAACTTCAAAGAATTCTTTGATGTGGTAAGATGACCTTATATATGGAGTTCTTTCATCTGCATATTTGTATTCATTGGTTGGCACCAAAATTAAGGAAGTTGGCTGGAAAAATCAGTTGTTGCAGAAATCTTCTTTGGAGCACTCTGTTTACTACCATTAATTGACCTGACATGTAAACTATACCACAAAAACCCAGCAACTCCTGTCTGAAGTTATTTTGAGGTATTTCTAACTTCTTGCTGGTAAGCCTTTGTTTTTCTTTTTTCTTTTTATTTTTAGTCACTGACCAAATCATTAAACTAAAAATAAAATTATTTTTTGTTTCCTTGGTTGGTCTTCTGTTGTCCCCTTTACTTCTCTTTATCTTATTTTTGTTGAACATGTGACAGTTTTTATGCACTGAAAACTTAAAAAATAAAAATGAAGTATTGTTTTTTTTAATCTGTTTACGTAGAACTAACAAAAATAATAACATTGATTCTATGAAAGAAAATATTGTTATATCCTTCATAATTGTACATATCTGTTAACTCTGATCCTTTCTGTAATTTAAGCAAAGTAAACTATCCTCTTCATCAGGTTAGTCCTTTTCTTTTATTATTTATATAATTATTCAAAAGTAGATCTTTACCCTGTCAGTGGGGTATAGAAACTGCAGACTGCATCTCCTGCAGAGTGTTAAGGCACCCACAAAAGGAATCACCTGCTGAGTGGATTCTTTTAAGCATGAATGAATGAGCTTGAGTATATACACAACCAGTGTCTATTTATAGGCAATGACATATAAACTCCACAAACTAATCTAAAGTCTGGATTTCTTGGTTGGAATTGGTATGAGGAATCTGTTTTAAAAAAAAACAAAAAAAAAAAACTATAATAATGTTGTCTCTCTCTTTGAATTGTATATTTGAAAATATTACATCCAATATAAAAATAATGAAGCCTTAAACTTTAACCTTGAAAAAACAGTTAACTGAAAAACCAATTTTGATAAATGTAGCAAATCATTATGCTCACTTGTTATTGCATAAATTAAATTTTAAGTTTAAAAATATATTTTCATGTCAATAATTGATTCTTTTGAATTTTAAATATTTGGAGAAAAAAATTTAATTGAAATTTTTTTTTTTTTTTTTTAAAAAAGAGTTAAAAATAAAAATTTATATAAGTTTTTCAACTGGCAATCAACATGTTATTTGCCCATAAGCTGGCTTCACTGAAAGTGTGGCGGACTTCCACCACATTTATTTAATGTTGATTAGGAAACGAAACTGATGTGAAGAAAGGACAAGGCAAACATATCATTATATATAAAAATTGTATTCAACAATGTATACAATAAAGAATGTGTAAGAAAAAGCATGCAATGAGTAAGACGAGAGTTGTCTCTCTTTGATTATCATTGTTTATCAAAGTTCTCTGAAAAGAAAGAGTTAATAATAGTTTGTAATAAATGTTTTTTAACAGTTTTGCTGTGCAAGAGGAAAAATTATGTAAGTGTAAGGAATACGCAGTTTGTGAGTGTTGAGTGAGAAGATTGGCGCATAGCTTCAATTATTGTGGATTTCTGTGGCAGCTGAAGTCTGACTGGTGTGTCTACACTTTTTTCTTGCTTTTATAGGTGATTATTGGATCAGAAGTGCTGCGCAAGAAGAATCACTCTTCATGTGCAGACAATCCGATTGGTCAGCACTGAGCAATCAGTGAATGAGATTTGTCGAGATTTCTGGGAGACGATTCTCCCAAAAGTGCGCAAAATCTACTATACGAAAATATAGCGATACAAAATTGTCACATAAGACAGTAGCGTTGATTTCTATCCACTGAATGATTGTTATTGAAAATTGAATTTGTATAGGTATGTATGTATGTGTGTGAGTGATGATGATCGCTATAAAAGCATTAAACTGAATTTCACTTTGTTGAAGGATTCAAATCACCAAAAAATCATGTTAGAAGAGTGAATCACTCCAAAATATTAGTATAACATTCAAGAAGATTTTATTAAATTTATATAGAAAAAAAATATTCATTATTGTAAAGAAACGGTAATTGACGTAATGGGTGTAATTTTCAAGTGATACATAATTTAAGAAAAGCATTATTAATTATTATTTTAGCCACCGAAACCGTGATATTACCCCTGGTCGGCGGCTGATGAAGACAGGGTATCACATGGTAACACACGTTGTGTTAAAAATTAATAGTTATCTCCCTTTAATTTTCTACGTGTTGATTTTTCAGTGAAGTGAACCATTCGACAAAGTGAAGATTCAACTTAATGATATTCACTGTTATGAATCGGACTAAAGTTTTCCATGTGTATTGCTAATGCTTAATTTTAATTTTAAGATTGGAACATGCAAAAGCAGAAGATAATTTTTGTTCCTACAAAAGTTTTTTTAAGCGCCTTGGAGAGAGTGAGAGTTTTTTTTATTTTAAATTTTTTTATTAATGCTTATTATTGCTATTGCTTAATTTTAATACAGTGGAATGTCGGATGAAAGGTCAGTAGGCAAGATCTTCAAAAGAAAGAATGTGGCTTTAGGAATATAACAATTACCTGATTCAATGCACTTTTATAACAGCAAATGTTATTATTTTGGAAGTGAAATATTTAATAGAAAATGGTTGATCTCAATAGTAAATTGATGTATTCTAAAAAAAAATAAACATTCATTTCCAGAATCGGGTTTGCCATCCATTATGAGCTTGAACATCTTTTTTTTTTTGTCCTAGCTTTCTCTACTTTATCACGTTTTCATTACAGGTCTTGAAGAGGAACGTCAGGTATTTGAGGCTAAACGAATGATGATTGAAGAATTACCAGAAGAAAGCTACCAGCTTCTGAAATACATTATCACATTTCTTACAGAGGTAAATAACTAATGATAATGGTGATTTTAATAATAGGATCAGTCATGTGATGATGAGAGATTGAATTGAATATATTTATTTTATGAGCGACTATGAGTTTTATAATGTTTATTATTTGATATTTGATTGAGTTCACACAAAATATTTACACTTCATTCTTTGTAGACTCACTCAGGGTGTAGATTTGACTATATTCAACAATGTGGCCTGACTAAAGGACACATTGCTCACATGAGAAAAGATAGCTATACTTGACATAATACAAGACTAAGGACATGTCACCAGGTACTAAAGTGGATTAGCTCAGGAATGTATGTTTTTGACACACACACACACACACATATATATATATATATATATATATATATATATACATATATGAGTGGGTGCTGAAAAGCACTTTTCCTAACTCACGTCTCAAAATCTGACCAAACATAAAATGTATGTATGTGTGTAAGTAATATATATATATATATATATATATATATATATATATATATATATATATATATAAATAATAATAGATTCTGCCGTCTGTTTTGACACGCGATAATCTTAAGTGGCATTTAAGACCCGCTAGTGATTTACAAAGGAGGCCACATATATGGAGTAAGTGTGAGATGAGATCACTATTAGATTTGCTGACCTTTTAGATCTTGCTCTCGCTTCTTGAAGAAGATTCAGATAAGCAGATTGAAAATTGCTGAGTCCACTAAAACATGTTGATCTCCGTTCTACCTGCTTCAAGGCTAATCGCTGAAGGGTGTTATGTGGTATATTGAATGCTGACAAGTTGCTTTTCAGCTTGTCTTTGTATCTCAGCCATGGGAATCCTACATTCCTGTAGCCCTGATGTAACTGGCTGTACATTAGGATCTTGGGTATCCTGTCATCAGACATTCTCAAGACATGACTAGTCCACTGTAACTGAGACTGTATGATAAGTCTCGATTCCTCCAATATTGCACCTGTTAAACTGGTCTATGTTAGATGTCTTGAAGCTTAACTCCACAGATTGCATGCAGACAGCTTTTCTGGAAAACATTTAGCTGGCATATATGGTACATGTATGGAGTCTATGACTCTGAGTCATACAAAAGGATGGCAAGTACAACAGCTCTGTAAACCCGAATTTTCATATCCAGTCGAATACCCCGCTCATTCCACGAGCGATGGTGAAGTTTGCCGAAAGCACTGGTTCCTTAGCAATCCGATGCATGATTTCATCATCTAAAGTTCCACTGTAATTGACTTTGCTACCAAGATAGGTGAAAGACTTTACATAGTTCAAGGGTTTGTCTTCTACTTTTAATGGTCTCTATGGAAGCCTATCTTCCTGGTAGACTGGTGTTTTTTGTTTCTCACCACGCAATTTCTTCGGAGTAGGACAATGTTGGTGCACAACTTCAGTTTTCTTTATGCTAAGTGTAAGACCAAATGCTTTACATGCAGGAAAGAAACGATTTATTAGATGTTGGGCCTCCTAAAAGGACGTCACTACAAGAGCTGCATCATTAGCAAAAAACAAATCATGAATAATTTGCATACAAAGGTGGGTCTTGGCTTTGAAGCACTGATGATTGAAGAGACCACCAGTTGTTGGAAACTGAAACTTGACGCCACTCTCTGTGTCTGCAAATGCATATTTCAGTATCACCGAGAAGAAAAGGGCAAAAAGGGCGGGGGCCATGATACAAAAAGAGATTTATACCCACAGAAATAAAACAGATTTGAAGAAAATGGATATCATTTTACACTTAAGTAATCTTTCAACCAATACTTTTTCAAAGGTGAATGTTAGCAAATTGTAAAGCAATCAAGGACACAACCACAATAATGAAAGAGGAGGGCAAGTTGGAATGCGATTATTTATTTATTTATTTTTTTAATTTTATATAATTAAAAGGAGGGAAAAAAAAGTTCTATAGTAGCATAAAATGGAAAAAAACTCATATCTAATAAAGGCTTACTTGATAGACTGATTTTGATTTTCAGTAACCAATGTCTGATCTGATAAATGATGGTACAAGGAATTGACTTTGTGCCATAACTGAACAGAATATATATATATAATATTATTTTTTGTATATATATATAAAACATTATTTTTTTGTATATATATATATATAAAATATATTTTTTTTTTTATTTTATATATATATATATATATATATATATATATATATATATATATATATATATATATATAAAACATTTTTGTGGGTACATGTGTTTGAGTTATTATTGTTTTGTTTTTTTATTTTATTAAATAGTGAAATTACTAGCAATCAGCCTAAAAAAAAAAAAAAAAGTCTTATTAAAGATGAATGATACCTCAATTGGAATTGAACCCGCATCTCATTGTTTGGTGCAACTCTGAGTTTCATACATGTAGCAATTGTCAGACACAAACAGAAAACTGACCATTGCAATATTTCCATATTTGTAATACACTGTTAAGATTATGGAGCAGGCTATTTACTTATGAGAAAAATAAATTGATAGAAAATAATTTTAATACAAAATAAAAAAAAAAACAAAACAATAAATTAAAATAGAGAATAGGAATATCTAACAGGAGGGGTTTTGGCAAGTACTGAAATCAATGATTCAACATTTTTTGATAGGTATTTATTTTTATGTCTACAGATATCTATTAATTGAATTTTTTTATTGAGTCATGGGTTGTGTATATTTATTTTGTAATCTATTTGGGGTTTTTTGTATTAAATTAATTTCCTACTAATTTTTTTTTTTTTTTATCATAAGTAAAGTGACTGGTTCACTATCTTAATAGTAGATTATAAATATTGAATTATTGCAACTCTCAGATTTCAGTTTGTACTTGATGGTTGTCATATGCATGAAACTCAGTTGTGTGAAACTGCAAAGAAGAAATATATATTTATTATTAGTATAATATGCAAGAAGCAGCAAGGCATTTGTTGTAGAGTTTAGAGAGAAGAGGAGCCATGTTCAGGAGTGCATTTCTTTAGGACAATTGCAGGGATTCCATCAAATCTGCATGTCTTGTGAGGATCTAGTTTGAAGATGATAGTGGAAATCATGGATGGATCTATATGCATATTGCATAGTAGAGCTTCAGTTCTAGGCAGAAAATCAGGCAAAGATATTCCAGATGAGTCAAGTGTGAAATTGGAAGCGAATTTATATGGCAAGCATTCTGATTCATCAGCACCAAACTGATTGAAGACAGGAGGAACTGAGGATTTACCCTTAGCAAGCCAAACTTGCGAGGGTCTATATGATGTCATTGTATCAGTGAACACTGACCTGTCCTCATTGAGGACATACTTACAATTATTACGAGCAGACACGGGCATCTTTCATGATCCAAAATGTCATACAGATATAGCAAGAATTGATTCCTGTAGGCTATAGCGGCTGAACAGGCAGATGCGAATTGAGAAGATAGTGGTTTTATTTGGTACTTCTGTGATGGCTTGAAAGCATTAATACCAACTTTCATCCAGGAAAAAAAACCTTGATAGGATTTTACTCAAAGGGGCATCATGAAAAAAAATCACTAAATGAGTCCCAATCAGAGCATTGGTAAGAAAATGGTGTTTTGTGAATAGGGGGTTCTTGCCTATTAGACAAGTGGAAAGAAATATCTGCAGACAGTACTACATGATTGAAGTTGCCAAGAAGACATTCTTGCAAAATGCAACAAGAGTCCAAAGATAAGGTAAGGAATAGATTAAGTAAAGAAGCCTGCCTGTCGGAGTTTACTAGAAAACCAAGTATGGAAATCTATTTTCTTGCAACCAGTTTTATGGTATGTTTGGTGTCTTGACTAATTTTTGCCACAGTTGATACCTTCTGTAAATGTAATACTACAATTAACATCACATGTTGTTTTAGATGTATTAGAAGAATAGCACTAATTATGAATACGAGGAAGCAGTTAATTAGAGAAGGTTGACTGTGCCCAAGTTAGGGTTTACTTCAGGATTGATACTTTCTTAGTCTCTTGTTTTCATCAGGCTTTATAAGTACTACTTTTTAATATTTAAGAAAGGTGAAAACTGAAAAAGAAGAAAGCTTATTATTAAAGTGTTTGTATGTGTGTATTTGGCCATCAATTCCTCTTTTATACAAGTTTCATTAAAAACAACTGACCTACCTTGTAAAAGCCAACAAAGAAAGCAGAACGACAACATTAAAAAAAAAAAACCTTGTTTTATAAAGTGGGTCAGTCATTTTTTTTAAGGAAACTTGTATAAAAGAGGGGTTGCTGCCCAAATGGTCAATTATCAAATTACACAACATGGCAGCCACAAAGAAAAGTAACACAACAGCATTCCCCCAAAAAAGTGAATAGTCAGTGGTATCCAAATATTATATTATTATTATTATTATTTGAAATACATTTTCCTCTTGTTTCACTTTTCTCATTTATCCAGGTTTCCTGATTTCTGTCTCAATATTGTTTTTGTAGGTGATTGCCAACTCGGACAAAAACAAAATGGATGCTCAAAATCTTGCAGTCGTCTTTGGACCAAACCTGATTTGGTCAAAGGGTCAGGTGTCATTGAACCTGATAACAGCAGTCAACAGTTTTACCCTAATTCTTCTTAATCACAGTGATGAATTGTTCACAAGGTGATAATATGGATGACACCAATTGCTGCAAGCAGCAGTGGTGATGATAACAGTATTGCTAAGCAATGTCTCCACAAAGTTAAGAAAAGGCACCAAGATATATATATATATATATATATATATATATATTTTAAAAGAAACAATTCTAAAGATCTTTTCTAATATTATTTGGCATGCCTGAAATGTATTTGGCCTTTTGACCAATTAAAGTGACTTGCAAATAGTGGGAATAATGAGTTTAACCACTCAATGAAAGAGCATAATGTTGATAAATAAATGAAAGATTATATATAATCATTAAAATGAACAAATCCCAACAATTATTTTTTAACTTTTGCTAGGTTTTTAACTTTCTAATGAGTTTCAGGAACATTTTTTTAAAATACTCAAAAAAAACCCAAAAAAAACTTAAGGGTGTGATTGTTTCTATCTTGTTCATGAACATTCTTGTAAAACTAAACAGGATGATTGTTTTACAGCCGAGTTGAAGTTGTTCATTTGTCCAGACAAATGCTGTTTAGGTGGGAAACTCTCGAATAATTTTTATATCTCTTTACATTTACCATGATCAGTGTGACCATGAATTTATTTCAGGATACTAATTACATATATGGTTATATCCATTAATAAATTCCTGGTTAACCTGAAACAAATTATTATTATATTTTTTTTTTTTTTTTTTTTTTTCAGCTTAATTTTCTTTTTCATCCCTCAATTTTTTTTCTAATATCTTATTGTAAAGTTTATAAATACATTTGAAGCAAATTTTTAAAAGGATAAAGGCTTAGTTTTTTTTATTTCTTATTTGCATGCATAACCAATGGTAAAATTAAATCCAGATTCAAATTGCTGGGCATGTCAATGCATGTAGCTATTTGACAGTTCATGTAATGATTTTCATTTTGGGGCTTTTATAAACTAAAATCATATAAAATTATTAACATATTGATACAAAAAAAAAAAAATAAATAAATGGAAGAAATTATTCAGAAAATTTAGTTGAGAAATACAAATGAAATGTTTAATTTGCATAAATGGAAAATTGTCAGATGACATTTTTCTGCAGTCTCAATTTTTAGTCTGAACATATGAAATCAGATAAAAAAAAAGAGGCACACCTCATCTCTCACTCTTTAATTAAGCCTGGGAGAAAGACTTTTGTAGGAACAAAAAATTTTCTTCTGCTTTTGCATGTTCCAATCTTAAAACACGCACATTTTGAAAAAAGAATTTCCTTCTTGACACATGGCAATCTTTAAAACTTTTGTTATTTCTCTAATTCTAAAGTGCCAAATGGTGGTTTGCCAAGATTTATTTATTCAGTTGAATTTTTTCAATAAATATGTAGAACTTCATCCAAAATTTCCCCATATAGCAAAAATAAAAAAGGGTTTATGCTTTTGTAAAACTTTGTTTTTCCAATAGTTGTAATGTATAAGTTTTGAAAGGTTTATTTTTAGCTGGGTTATTTTTTTATTTTTATTACATTTGCTTGCTTTTTATAGCAAGTAATAATTTCTTCAAATCAAATTTGAAAGTATACCTTCTTATGATTATCTGTCAAAAAAGCCCGGAAAAATTAAAAACAAGAAAAGCTGCTATTAATATCATTTTAAAGACAATTTTTCTTATAAAATCAATAATACTTGTCTGATGTTTTCATCTGTTGGAGAATCTAAGAATGACATCAAATAAAATGCAAATATTTGCATTTAGCTGTATTTGTACATGGAATGTATGTTTATATGGAGAACAAGATGGTTTTGTTTCTCATAGTTTGACTTTTATTTTTCTTATGAAAAACCATACAATCTTAATTTGAAGACTTGAGAATGGGAAATAAAAATACTCCTTTTTAATATTTTGTTTAAAATCTTAGAAAACGTCATTCTCAGTTTTACTATATATTTCTCAATTTTGTTGAAGACTGTTCTGGTGTCTTTTGTAAAGAAAATGTGAGTTCACTTCACTCTTATCTTTTTTATACTGACTGGGGAGTGTGCGTGTTACTTTCATTTTAGCAGTCAAGTACTCACTTATGCTATATATATAATCTTAAGAAGTTTGAAGAATTTCTAAATTTGCAAAGTCTTTGGTAAATATGGTTCAGAATAAGACTTTACCAGAGGCCACAGGTTCTTCTTAAATGTGCATTATGTAAACCTGTAAATTGAAGCAACTAACATGGCCTCCAAAATGATTAACGTTCAAGCAAAGACTGAGATCTCAAAATCTGTGTTTTAATCACTCAGCTGCAGAAACTAATTTTTTTTTTTTTGGTGAAGACTTCTATAAGTCTGTTCATGTTAGGTTTATCATATCAATGTTCTACTTGGTCAGGGGCTGACATTTTTAACATTTTTGTGAAAAAGAAATTGATTTTAAGTGAGGATAAAAGGCTCTTTTCTTTTCTATAAATGGTTAAACTGTTACCTGATGAACAAGTGCATGCTGCATTTAAAAGCATCTCTTTGTTCACCAACTGAATTTTTTTTTATTGAAGGTTGTGTCTTTGCTTGAATTTGAAAAAAGAAAAAAAGTTTAGATGTAAAATAAATTTGATCTATTACATGTATATATTTTAAAATTCTTTACTTTTATTCAGTTGACCCAAGTGCCATCTTTGTTAAGGCGCCAGACATCACACTGCCAATCTTTTCAGTCCTAGAAGGGCTTATTTGAATCTTTTTCTTGTAGACAACCTTTTGTCACTTTGCATTGTAATTTCTTAAAATAACGAATCTGATGAAACTTAAAGTGAACAACTTTAAGTATTTGAACTTGTCTGGTGTATTTTCAACAATAGTGAATGTCAAAATTGTCGTTCTTTCATTGTGAAGGAATGAAAAATATACAAAAACAGATACAACAATAATTATGGGTGTTGATTTAAAAACTACACTTGTTAACTTTGCTGCCCTCTGCTTTTCAACCAGAAAATCTTAAGATTGAACATTATTATATTCATGTCTATTGGACAACATGCCAAATAATTTGATCAAACTGTAGGTCCATGCAAGCATCAAATATCTTATCCAAGAGCTGTAAATTATATAGTAAAAAAAAAAAAATTTTTTTGCATTAGTATTTGTTTACTAATTAATGTTTACTTAAAGTTGTTTTTCTTACTTGAACCACTTACTGACAAGGCCTTTTTTTGTGGTCATAATTTGCAGTATAAAAGAAAATGAAAGTAAAATAATGCACATGGCACTTATTTATTAAAGAAAACACTTTCACTTCATTGAAGTTCATTTAAAAAAAAAAGTCACAATGTTTGGCAACTGAAAGAATTTCATTATTTTTTTTAGCATCTTAAGATTTCTGCATAAGTCACAGCATTTTTAATTTCCCTACTCATTATCAGTCCTGTTTAATTTGACATTTTGATCTTTGCCTGATGGTGATTGAAAACAAATACAATGTAATAAGAATAACTACAGAAAAAGTTCAAAATCATTAAATCTATTGTGATTAGGCTCATTTGCTTAATTTAATGACATGATGTTGTGATGATCTGTGGGTCACATTGACAATTTCCTTGTATGCATTAGTAAAAAAGACCAAACACCTTTTGTCAACATACCAAGCTGCAGACAAGATAGAAATATAATATAACTTGTTGATAGGGGAATATAAAAATTGTTATAGTTTAACATTTCATAAATTATATATAGATTTCTGTAATTAGTAATTCAAATATTGTGATTCTGCTTATTATCAATATGTAAAAAGTTAATTGAAATATAGTGAGTAAATGTAGAGATGTAAAATTTTAGAGAAATTAGACTCTTTGAGGTTGGTTTTATGAAATTGAACACACGGTGAGTCTAGTATCACAGGATAAAAGAAATGGAACTGAAAATTCAATTCTTTTGTGAAATTAATAAATTGACTATTTTTTGAATATAAGTTGATGCTCCCATTTTGTAAATGTAATTCTTGTTGCAGAATAGGCAAATTTTTCAAAGAAAGAGAAAAAAAAAAGTGTCTAATTTTTATTTTCAAGTTTACTCTTTAAGCAATGAAAGTTTAATTTTTGTCAAAAACTTCATTGTAATTATTTGCTATATTCATTTTGCTTTTCTTTAATGAAACCATAGTAATCTGAATGTATTGAGTCTAAAATTAGTAGTTTCATGTCCCATCACTTGCACATTTGTCCTGATATAACATTGTATTAGTATTGTCATGGCTTAACTTATATTGTATCTAAAATTTAGATACTTCCACTTAGAAGTTTTCAGACATGTTACCTAAGTTCTGAATAATGTGCTAAGGCTGAAACATCCATATTTATAAGTTTCTATAAATAGTTCAAATGTACAAGAAAGGAATAATTAAGCATTAGAGAAACAAATCTAAGCTTTTTAGAAGGAATCATTATGTGAATCATATCAATGACTAGAAAAATTAGATGCAAGTCTTTATTAATGTCAGACATTGCTATTTGAAGGTGTACTTGTTCAACAGAACCTATCCCGTAGTGTAATTTCATCTAAAGGGAGACAACTTTTGTGTAACCAATCGTACAAGGGAGACAATTGCTAAGTTTATTTGTTTTTTTTTTTCCTGTTAATTGGATATGTGACTAAAGGATGAATCTCATGTAACTGGAAGAAAAGTTAATTTTATTTTCTCATTGGCTTTTCAAATAAGACTTCCCCTATCTAATTTAAGAAAACAGATAGTGGGAAAGATTTGATGGCTATCATATTTAATTATTACCTTTCTTTAATTCTTCTTCACTCTTACAATTCCCGGTGTTAGAAAAAAATTATTTGGTGTTTTTTTTTTTTTTTTTTTTATGCTATCAAAACTTGTAAATAAATTCTCTTGGGGCTCAACTCAGAATTTATCTTCAATAGGAATTGCAAAGAAAGATTTTTTTTTTTTTGTATATATTCTAGTACAAATGTAGTTGTCTGTATTTGTTATTGTCTGGAATAAAATTTCTGTTTCCTTTGTACAGAATTGATAAAAGATTTGTGAAGATGTGAATATCACAGAATGAACAGAAATTTTAACTGAAGTCAGTCAAAATAAAATATTTTAAATACCTGTAATATATTTTGTTCTGAATGGATACAAGTAGAGAAATGTGTACTTTTATTTAGCATCCCTCCCCACCATATGCTTTAAGATAAGAAAATGTATAGTACAACAGCCATTATTCAAAAATTACTCCAGCCTCTTTCTGTCATCTGTATAAAAAAAAAAAAAAAATCCACCATTTTCTTAAGCCATCTATTTTCACATACTGCCAGATTGTTTATGATTTTCTTTACTTGCAGAACATTGCCAGTCACTAAACTAGCTCCTCCTGTTATCATTGCTGGGTTGTGCATTGGCAAACTTTTTTTTTTTCCTCCCACTAACTTGTTTTCACAAGTTACAAGCACACCAACACCCATGGCTTACTGACCAGACTAGATCACATGGATTTGTGTTCATGTACGGGTTACTTAATACATTAGAGCTTTATTGTACAGTTTAAACTTGAGTTATGGTCTCTTTGCAAACTTATAGCATGCAATTTATTTGTTTCACCAAACATTTTGCAGCTATAAGACTATCCACTTTGCTTACAGTGAAAGTTTCACAAGTAACTGGTGTTTAATGGAATAAATTAAGAATCCCAGAGAAGAAAAAAAAAAATTGGTCACATTTCTCTTTAACAATATATTACATTTAGTACACAAAGAAAGCAACTGAATTTTAGTTTGTTTTAATGAACAGCAACAATTTCTGTACTTAGCTTTTCCATTAAAAAAAAAAAAATTTCATTCTTTTTACCCTTGTACAAACAGCAAAACAAAAGTTTAAAGTTTTACCATTTATTTATAATTCAATTCTCAAAAAAAAAAATTTGCTTACTTGGTGTTCTAATCCCAATGTAATCATTGTGTTGATTTTTCATTATAATTCCAGCTCACATTCATTAAAAAAAAGAGGGGGCCTTTTTATGCCGAGACAAAAGAAATGGGGTGGGGGTAATTTATATAGAATGTGACGATCAATTTTGGGGAACTAATTAAACAAATAAAAAAAAAAAAATTACAAGTATGTACCTAAGTCCATTATTACATTTGTTTTCAGTTCTTTTAAATAAACAAACAGGCTGGGTAAAGATTCAATATACAAAGTAAAAATTATCAAAAACAGAAGGAAAGAAATATCACTTTTTTTTTTCCATTTTTTTTTCTTTTTAATTTTTTTTCTCTTTTGCTTTTATAAAAACTTTAAAAGTAAATATCTATAAAAATATATTTTATGGAATCCTTGTGGAATATTTCTTGGTCATAGTGCAACTCAAGTATATTTAACATGGATCTACATTATAACATGATTTTAAACTTTTCTGTATCAGATGTTTACAGAGTCAGACAATTTTTTTTTTTCATTGCAGGATTCCATACATTTTGTACTTGTTTGGAGTATTATAACCACTTCATGTCAATTTTTTTTTTTTTGTCCTGGGACTTAATTTTTCAAGTAATGTAGATTTGGTTTAATTTAAAAAAAAACAAAAAAAAAAAACAACTTCTGTCAGTAATAAATGTCATCAAAGGGACTCAGCATTTGAATCAAATTAATATATTCAATTATTTTAATTTATTCTTTAATGGTCCCATAAATTTTAAATTACCTGACATTCACAAATCATTTCACCACTTGAGTTCAAATTTAACATACCTGAATGTTTAACGTAATTCTCAGACAGCTGATACTAGTGTTTGAGATATCATTGACACGTGTTCTACCTATGTCAGAATGATAGAACATTAATAGAGTCGATGCAAGCAGGTGAAAGAGACGAAACATTTCTCCATGTAAAGTAATGAAAGATTACAGACTATTTAAAAAAAAAAAAAAAAATCAAAATGTATCAGTTTCTGTTATTTGCTCTAAGAGAAGATTTAAACGTTTTTTTTTCTTTTAGGATGGGGTGGGTTGTTTCATCATAAAGAGAAAGTAAAATGATTCAAAGAATTTTCAACCACTTCAGTGTTATTGCCTATGATTCAATTAGTTCCACATAGTTTGCAGGAAACAGACCAAGCTTTCCATGGCATTCTCCTCTCCACCAGCCTTCATCAATCTGAAAGAAAAGAATTTGACATTTCTACATAAATTTAATGATTTAATTGCAAATCCTTAAGTATTTTTCTTTTTTAAGAAAAAAAAAAAAAAATAATAATTTCACCCCAAACAAAGCAATAAAGCCACTAAGATGCAAGGAGTGACTAATTGTGAAAGGATATGAGAAAATATAAAGGAGAGAGAACAATAAAAGGAAAAGAATTAAAGACAGAAGATAACAATGGACATTGCATTTAAATCCTTGAAGATCAAATTCAGCTGGAAAAAAGCTCCAGAATCAGGAAGTGCAAAAGAAGAAATTCTTACCACTAAAACTTATTACATCTTATTTTTATTAATAAAGCAGACCAACCACAGTTAAGTTCATAGTCATTGTGAACTCTTCAATCACTTCAGTAATTTTTCTTTTTAAATCATTCCACTAAGCAAAGCAATATAGGCACTAAGACAGTCTTTCACACTCATTCAACTCCTAAGAAAAAAAAAAAGCATTAACAAAAACAAACAATAAAACAGGTATTTAGAAGATAAAATAACAGTTGACATTGCATTTAAATTGCTGGAAAGCAAGAAGCCAGAAGAGAGGTTCACAAAGCAAGTAGTGTGAGAAAAAACTCTTTCCATACCACTTACAGTTGAAATTGGTAAATGTAACCATAAAATGATTACACCTAGCTGCCAATCTAGTACTGCACTTAAATTCATAAAATTGAGGCATTAAATTCTCATCAAAACAATTACCATGAAAATATTTAAAGAAAAGTCACACAGAAGCTACATTACTTTTTCTTGTGCAGTTTTTCTTTATATTAAGTAAACAATGCACAAGAAAGTGAAGCAGAATTAGCAAGGTTGTAGCAGCAGAGATAGCAAGAAGAACATCAAGATGCCAACTTCTAGCATCAACATTCTTCAATGGGAAAAACACTTACACAAAGAGTTTGTTCTTACTGACATAATTGAAAGTTCAATCTATGAGAAGATGTTCCACGATTTATGTTTTAGTGATAACTGAAAAATTAGTCACAATAAGATATCAGGTCACACTTTAAAGTTCTCTTTAAAGTTACCCACATCAACAGACACCTGAAGAAGGTTACATGGTACAACTACTGAAAGATATTACAAAAATCAGGACATTTACAAATAAGTCTTCATCCCAGAAATTTACACAGAAGTGAATTTTAGACTTTCGCTTTTTTTTTTTTTTAATCCATTTCATCACAAGCAAGGCAATATAGCCACTAAGATACAAAGAGTTATTGAATGTTAGAGAATATAAGAGAAGAAAGAAAAAAACTATTAAAGAAAGAGTACAATAAAACAAGTTTAAGATAACTTTAAATGCAATGTCAATCATTTTGAACATCAAAGTTGACTAGAAAGAAAGTTCCACAAATGAGGATTGTAATAGAAGAAACTGTTAGCATAGAACTTAGATACACCTAGCCATTTCAACTGTAAAATGATGAGACCTTACTGCTAATCAAGTACTGTGCTTAAGTTCATAAAGTCTACGTACCATAGACAAAAGTTCAGAATAATTTTTTTTTTTTTTTTTTATTATTAGATTTTTTTTTCTACTTCATTCCAGCATTCCTAAAATTATTTCAGAATTTACACTGTCTTTTACAGAAATATCAACTGTACAAGTGATATTTTAATTACTTTCTTAAAGGCTGTAAATAATGATTATCAATTGGACATGTAAAGAAGTTTGTAAGTACAACAATCAAATCAACATTTAGGAGTTCATGTGAAGCATTAAACTATTTCTTATTTATCAGTCAACCTACAAGATTGACTTGTTGGACATTTTAGATTAAATGGCACGCAAAGAATATTTAGTGAACAGTAACAAGGGAACCAGCCTATATTATTTCAAGTATACATCAAGAAAATAAGATATATTTTATGTTACATTATTTTTACAAATAAATATAAAAGAAAAAAAGTTTTATACCCTGTCAATTCCAGTAATAATGTCATCAGGTTGGAATGAAAGTTCATCATCATCAGCTAAAAAAGAAAATTTTAAAAGAAATAAAAATTTAATAAACTTATCAAAAAATAAAATAAACACACATGCAACACTTCAGAAAATTTAAAAACAATTCAGTGGTGAAAAGTTTACCTAACAAATCTTACATTAAGAACAAACATGTTTCACCAATTTATGAAACTAGAACGAGCAGATCAGACACTTGAAAGTGTGAAAAAGCAGCAAAGAAATTTTAGCTCTTGTATAGAGGAGGAAGGGGAATAACCTTACCTGCTTCATAATCATATAAAGCAATAGCTGAAAGATTTTCTCCCTCCACTCCAGGAGAAGCAGATTCTGCAGCTTCATATTCTGGGCTGTTTACATCCTGAGGACTCTCCTAAATACAAGGGAACAAAAAAAAATAAATAAATGTGGGGAAAAAAAAAAAAAAATAAAAAAAAAATAAAAAATTTCAAAAACACAATCTACCCTCAAGATGAATATACCAAAGTTAAAAGCTGAGAATTAAATCTTCAAATACCAATCAATCAGATTATCTACAGGAAGAATCTATTTTTGATTTTGATCATCCATCAACTGAGGTGCAAATTAATTATAGTGACAAAAACCCGAGTGCAAAGGTAGAGCTTCTTCCTAATATTCAAAACAAAGAGTTTGCTACATCCACAAAATATACTTTAGAATAATAAAATTACAATTATTCCAACAAGTCATGTTACTTTGTTTGCATTACATTTTTATTACAATTCAGAAATAGTGATTTTGTAAGGTGGGGACAAATTAGTTTGTTGAATTAGTTTATAAAGCTTAAGTGTGAAGAAAAACAAAAATGTCTATCAATTTCCAATAAATACAATCATGAAAAATCAAACAAAAGTGCTATATTTTTATGCAAAGCATAGCGAACAGGGCATTTATAGCAAAGGAAAAGATAACTTAAACAATTTTTGGGTGATAAGATTAATCTTCACATATTACATTAAAATCATAACATTCTCACCCATACAGGTGAATTGTATCATATTGTAGTTAAAAAAAGGTTAAAATATCATTATCCAGTGATTTTCTAAAACAATACTTCAAGGAGGATTGACAGAGAGCATAAAAACTTAAAATTGCATAATTCAAATTCACAAAAATCAGAAAACATCTTCAGTGTGAGACTTCCAGAGCTGAGCAACCTTCACAAGAGATAAAGAGAGTGTGTGTGTGTGTGTGTGTGTGAAAAGGTTAAGTAATAAAATTGAGGACAATCAAGTCAATATTACCACAATTTCTGTTTTGCCTGCTTCTTCATCTTTCTGACATTTGGTCACATCTTCTGGCACTGTTTCATGTTCTTTCTCTGCCTTTGGTTTCTCAGACTTGAAACAAAGACCAACTCAACTTTTAGCATGACTGATTACAGATTACAACAATGATTGAATACCAGGCATGAACCATTATTAGCTAATGGTTGGTTAGTCAAGTGTAGCCATAGTTGCTCAAAGTTGGTAAGTATCAAGAATGATACTAATAGATAAATGGAAATGGTTAGTACTTCAAATCCACATGCAGGAAATTAACAGAAAAGGGAACAGTGAACACAAAATGTCTCCCACTTTTTTTTTTTCAGTTGCCAATTTTTAGATTTTTTTCTTTCATTTTATTTATTTATTTTTTTTTTTTTTGCCAACTCATTGTAATTCTATACCAATTAAGCAAACAGTATGAATCAGAAATAAACCATAAGTCACTAGCCAGTTTACAAGCCCATTTGATATCCATTTCCTCAAAATGGTCAAATAGGTTACTTGCAACTTTCTTCTACTAATCTTGTTTTTAATGCCCCCTGGTTAGTATTAATGACGACAATCCTTGTTCAGGTGCTATAAAATCACTAAAAGCTATTTACCAAATAAGAAAAAAAGACATCAAATCATTTGAACATTTCCAATGGTAGCAACAATAAAAAATGTAGCAAATATAACTAAAACAAAATATGATAGAGATATTAAGGTTTTGCATTATCAAAAACAACATGTTTAGAAGGAAACTCCAATTGATAATAGAAAAACTAACAGCAGCAGACTTGAAAAACCCATTTATTTTCTTATTTTAAGAAAAAGATTTAAAAAAACTTCTATTCACAGTAATACTAAATGTTAGTCAATACTGAATGTTTCCTGTATGGAAACAGTTAATTTCAACATTACTATTTACTATGATAGCACCTTAATGATGAATCTATAAAGACTTCACTAGTATCACAATGTACCAGGTTCCTTCAGATCATGGTTCCCCACAGCTTTCTATCTTACTCGAGCAATGCTGGCCCCTTTATGAAATATTGTATCTTTCTCCATTCTGTTTGTTCAAATAGCTCACTCCCTGCTTCTCTCATTTTGTTTTGCCTTTAAACAAAATTACCCACCTTATCGCAAAAATTTTTGGGGACACATGGTGGAGTCATGGATTGCGGCTCAGATTGAGGAATCAGAGCAGAGTTCAAATTCTAGTCAAATCCATTACATTTACCTACATGCTAATACCCTTGGGAAACTTACAAATCCTCTTCTCCCCCGCCCAGCTATGGGTAAATAGCAGGACAGACCAGGTTCTATAGCCTTAGATGGCAACTGGTCTACCGCAGAAAGAAATTGAAACCTAATGCAGGAAAAAAAATCTGCCTCGTCAGTCATGTATCAAAAGACATGATCACCTAAGCATATATCATGCATGGCACATAACTGACCGATTGCAAAAATTTTCATGGTTTCTTTGTAATTCTTATTCTACTTAAAACTTACTCATTAGTCACATGCTGTGTATTGTATTCTAACTATTTGCTGATAAAAAAAAAAAAATTACAGCATTAATTACCATATAGTAGGGTGGTAATCCACCCTTATTCATTTCTAATATTTTTTTAAGCTTAATATTCAATTCACTTTCTGAAAAATATCTTTCTCTACACACATTTCAATGTGTCATTTTGGTCATCTGTTATATACTAATGTTCACCCAATACAAGGCTCAAGAGCCACTCAAGGTTGACGGTTACTGTGTAGTGTTGTATGACCATAAGAAAGGGCAATAAGTGCAGTTCATGGAACTATATAGAAAAGATAACAGTTAACCCTAAACTTGAAGAGGTCAACATCATTATAGTGATTAGAAAAAACATTCTGCCAGGAGTCTGTCCCACAGAGCAGTAATTCTTGCAAAGACTGCCCAGATAATTGAGTTTCTCCCCCCTCACATCTTGAATTATTATCACTTTTGCTTACAATCATGATTTCCATCTTATAAATAATAAGTCATTCTTGCTTTTATTGACTACCTTCTCTAATAGTCATTTTGTCTTTTATAATATAATCCTTGAGAGCAACTCAAGATAGAGTGGTTACTCTTAAAATGGTTATGATGAATGAGTTGTGTCATATAAATGAAAGATGGTAGGAAGTGAAGACTATGAGGATAAGGGAAATAGATAATGATCAACTTGAAGAGGTTAAGATTGTAGTATTCAGATAGGAGTACATTCTATAAAGTAGCAGTTCTTGGGTTGTATGAGTGGAATTTTCTCATCACATTTGGAATATAGAGGAAATGAAGGTGATTTGATTCCATGGAAGTGGCATGGCTTGTCATAGTTATAAAGGTCTGAAGAATGGAGATCATGTGAACATTTTCTATGGAAATAGTGACAGAGTAGCAATAGACTTGCAATGTTACATCTGTGGGGAAAGAGACTGGAAGAGTGGTTTCTTGTGGTTATCTCAAGGTATCAGTTTAAGTGGGTGAATGAGACATTTAAAGAAATTTCCAGTTCATGCCACTAATTCAAGAAAAGGAATCAATGCCTTGATATCAAGTTATGTAAGCAAAATTAAAGAGTAATGTTGAAAAGTAAACCAGATATAGAATTGTACTTGAAAAAACCCCTGTTCATCATGAGTAGCATCTGAAACTCAGTAACAGAATTCCTGTTACATCTTCAAACCAAATTAAAAAAAAAAAAAAAAAAAAAAAAAAAAATGTAATAATTTGGCTTTGTTAGTAAACAAATTATTGGATTAACATTTCCAAGAAACGCCACATATATAACTGGAACAGTGAAAAAAATAAAATAAATAAAATCTTTTAAATTAAAAAAAAAAAAAAAAAAAAATAAATAAATAAATTTTTATCTCCATATGAAGCTACCTTGTCAGTGAGGACTTAAATATGTTGAATGGATGCCCCCTCAAAAAAGCCACCTACATAGTAAATGCTTACAAACAACCAATATTTACTTACTCGTTATATACTTGAATGTAAATGACCAATATTTACCATGAAATAAATGCTTACAGACTCAAATATAGACAACCAATATTTGTCAGCAAGAAAATGATAGACAAATATAAATGACCAATATTTACTCATCACTAAATGAAGTTACCGTTTATAGACTCAAATATATATTAAAAGAAGAAATAATGCAGATTACAAAGGGCTGATATGTTAGGGGGGGAAAAAAAAAAATAAAATAAAAAATAAAAAATCAACCAACCCAACTTAAAGAGGTTACAGGTGGTCAAACTTTCATCAAGGTATTCAAAAATCATTTACAAGAAAACCCACAGATTAAAACTAAGAAAAGTAAGCATACTATTCCAAATGATTACACTAACTCATTAAATAAAATATACAGCAGCTTAAAATATCAATGTATATCAAAATACAGATTACTTTGCAAGTTAGATAACTTGTTCCTTGTCATTATTGCATTTGTCAAACATTAAATTTGGTTAGATCAACTAAGTTTTGAAATGTAACATTTTAAGCAGATATTAAGTATTAACTGATCACATGCTTATACAATATTGGATCAAGCACTATTTCATTGACATAATATGCTTTGAAATATTTTTCTTTCTCTTCATTAATTTCAGGGCTTACAAGAAATAAACTTCAAGTTTTTAAGTCATCAGTTCCAAAACAGTATTTGGACAATTATACAATATCTTCTAAACTGATTTTTTTTTCATAGCTTAAACCCACTGTAAACATGCAAAATAAAAGTAAAATTATTTTAATACTAAAAAAATCTTTCCCTCAATGAAAAGCCTCAGACAAAAATCTTATACAAACAATGTGCAAAACTTGCTTTAAAAAAAAAAATAAATTCACATTGTTACAATGTCACAACACATCACTAAATTTAATGCCAAAATTTTTATAAAGAATATAAAATTCAAATAACAAAATGTAAACCTTTAAGTTGTTGAGAAAGTAAAAGAAAAAAAAAAAAAAAGAATAATGCATAATTTGGTTTTACTCTGGATATTTTATATAAAGAAAACATAGAATCATTCTAAAAAGTTAGTAAGACATGCCTAGAGATTTCTAAAATAGAACCCCCAGATTTCATTTATTGTTATTCATGTTCAATGTGCTAACAAATTTCTATGTGCCATGCAGATTCAGGATGTAGATAATCATGTCTTGCCACAATATCCTGTCCTTTATAGCTCTTAAAGTAGATTATTCACTATTTTTTTTTCCATTCTTCTTGCCTTCAAATTCTCCAAGCACTCTTTTGTCATTATGTGCCCTACAAATTTCAGTTATCTTTTTCTGATTCTAAGTGTCCTTTTTGTTTCCATTTTCCTTAAAATTTCATTGTTACTCACAGGTTCAGTTCATGGTACTCTCAGCATCCTTCTGTAGAAACAATTGTTGCCTCAAGTGTCTTCATTTTTGAGGAGATTGTTCAGCATTCACTGCCACATGAGAACCAATATTACATAACAAATGTGGCAGACACAGACTTCTTCATGTCCAAGCCACCTGATTTTTACCACCTGGGCATTATGCTGATGAAAGCACATTGGTAAACAGTTCTAGATGCCAATAGGGATTACTTTGAGAACTAATGGTATGTCAAATTTGCTGTATACCCTATTTTTTTTCTAATAAATAAAAAAAACTGCAAGGAATTTTTTGGCTACCTTGTATTTACATTTTTGTACTTGATTTTGGTGTATCCAATTCAGGGTACGAAACTTGGGCTGTTCTTTTTGTTGATAACCATATATTCTTTCTTCTTACAATTGATGTTTAGTCCTTTCTTCTCACTTTCCTTGACTACATTTTGTAGGAGTTCTTGTTTCTCCTATCAACACTGTGTCATCTGCATATCTTATGTTATTAAGATTGACCACCAATAATGAATCCATCTCAGTTTTTTTTTTTTCCTTCTTTAACAACTATCTATGTATCAAAACTAACAAATTGAACAAATAATCCCCATATGATTATTCATACATTTTCTATTTTACAAGTTTTACATTATTTATTTGATGCTCAATAAACATTAAAAAAAAAAAAAAAAAAAAAAAAAAAAAAGGAAAAAAAATACACCACCAGCAAACATATATATATACATACAAATAAATGGTATCTAGGATTGGATGCATATATAAATAAGCAAAACAAAACTTAAAAAAAATATTAATAAAATTAAGGACAATTAAGTCAATATTACCACAATTTCCTTTTTTGCTGCATCATCATCATCTTGCTGCAATTTGGCCACCTCCTCTGATGCCGATTCAGATTCTTGCTCTGCTTTTGGGGTTTTTGACTTGAAACAGAGACCAACCAAACTTTTAGCATAACCGATTACAATCAATTATATCGATTGCACAGCATTCACAAACCATTAACATGTAATGGCTGGTTATTTCAATGCAGCAGTAACTCCAAGCAGACAGCAATATAGAGGAGAAGCTTTGCTAACTAGTAGTTTATTAGTAGTTACTAGTTATACAAGTCGGCATGCAAGATTAAAATCAGGTTAAGAATTTTAGCTTAAAGCTAATGACAGTTCTATTGTTTCTTGCAAATGTGATCGTAATTCCTACTGCAAACAAAATTTACAATGAAGATGTAGGATAATATTTGGATGCAAATCAACAATTTTAACCAGTTTTCATTTCAGACAATGTTAGGTTATAAAAATAAAACAAAATAGCAATATCATGAAATTCATTTTCCTTACTTTATTGTAAACTTAATATATTTGACTTGATTCTATTTTTAAAAGCCCTCCTCTCATTTAAACTCTCAAGTTGTCCTGTTCAACTCTATAAAGCAGCCATAGAAAAAGAAATAGTCAAAAATAATTTTATTTTGCCGAGTTAAAATAATAATAATCTTGCCTCTCTTTTCCGTTTATTTTCTTCTATTTTCTCAGTCTATGCTTAGCTTTTGCGTTAAAAAGTGGAGCTGTCTGCATTAATTCCCTAACTGAAATTAGTATGATGAAACTACAGCCAAAATACAAGGCCAACTTATCTTACTAATGTTTTATCCAACACTTAAAAAAAAACAAAAAAAACTTCAAAACTAAAAACAAAGTCATCAGCCCAAATAATTGATTTACTAATCCAATACAAATAGATTTACTAATCCAATAAACTAGACTGAACTATAAGCATTGCATAAAGATATACAATTCAGATTTTTTTTATTATATTCAACCCAAATGCTTTTACTCTTATCTAAAATTAACATTGAACTTTACTTTCAAAGATTTTAAATTTTCATTGAGAAAAATCTCATCTTTAGGCTATGGAACAATAGCCTAATGGATTAAAGAAATGGTTTGTGAATTTGATGACATAGCAATTGTAAGTTCAATCCCCGGGCTGGGCAGTGCATACTTGACTCAGTGAAAACACGGTGAGCAATAACCAAGCTGTACTAAAAATAAGAACGAGACAAGACATCCCTAGACAGGGGCAATGGAATTAAATAAAGAGCAGTTCAGAATTCCCTATAGGTTACTTGAATTGATATACACCTGATGATGACTGGAGGGCACAACAGCCAAAACGTGATAACGACAACAAAGATAAGGACAATAATCCAAATGTAAATAAAGTGAAAAATCTTTTATGATGTGTAGTTGACTAATAAAATCATTACCTTTTTGACTTTAAAACAATTATATACACAAGATGACAGAAGAGAATGTACTGTTTTAATAACTAAACATTTTTTTAGTAATGAAAAAAAAAAAAAAAAAATTCTGCATTCTCTAAGCTTGTAATTAGAATATATAACCAATATTTATTCCTAAAATGCATAGATGCAATGGGTAGCAGTCATATGCATCTTACATGCTATCAAATAACAGTATTAATAGGGTAACACAAATTGGGAAATCACAAGTCATGCAACCTAAGTATTTCACATTCATTTTCTTTTCATTAGAAACATGGAAATGTATTAGTTAGTAATAGAAGAATTGTTAAAATATTTATTGCTGTGATCAAAATCACTGTCCTTGTTTGTATAACATTTTCAGGAGAGAGACTTATCAAGATTTGGGGGTAACATGTATAAAATGGATCAAATAAAATCTAGTAAAGCATAGAATTAAAATAACCCTTTGTGATTATACAATGATACAACACTTATAATTAATACTTACCTGTAATACAAAGCCTCCAAAATCTATACCCACTTTGATAGATTTCAAACACTTAATAATAATGCATCATTTAAACATGAAATGCATAATGCCTTTATAGCTGATTATTTATTAGAACATTTCCTTTTGATTATAACATCAGATTTAGGATAACTACAATTATTAAGAACTCAACTGTTCCTATATGTTTAAGTCATCCCAAATGTTTAAATTTATTGATCTTGATCATCTGGTCACTGTCATACAAATGCTCTTGTGTAAGACATTATTTCATCTCTCTTTCCTCACCACCAGCGTAAATAGCAAGGTAGACAGAGTTCTTTATCTTTATATGGAAATCATTATAAAAATTAATTCCAAACTGCAGAGATAGCAATGGGAAAGCACTCAATTATCTTTCCCAAGAATGCATAGCAATTCACAGATAAAGAAAGGGGATCTGCAGAGAGCCATCATCATCTATGCCCTGAAGGGACATGATATAAAAAGGTCTTAAAGGTAAAGACACTGGAGTGTATTTTGCCAGTTTTAAAATACTACAGTAGAAAGAACTGGTAACAGCATATATTTGAAGTGGAATGGTGAGGTATTAAATACAACTGTGGTGAAATACATAAATCCTTGGAAATGTAGAATACATTGCATTAAATAAATAAACCTAAATGCAAATGTGTAATATGCATATTAAATCTCTTCCTAAAACAAAAGGTTTTCAAAATTTTCAAATTCAAATTGCTGCAGTAAATTGTCTCAAAGATCTAAAAGCATTGATGTCTATTCATTGGCAATTTTAAAACAAAGTACTAAATGATCTGAACCTAAATTATATATTTATTTTTTATTCAAAAGTTTAGAAAATGTGCTACAAATAAACATACACAATATTAATAGATAACTAAAACTTTAGCTAAGTTTCACAGGGTACGATAATTCTACAGATTTATCATATCCTGACAAGCAGGACAGTGTTTCTGTGAAACTTGAAGTCAAATAGATAAGTCATTCAAACTTTTCTTTATCTGTTAATTTCTGTTGATCAGTTTTTAATATTGAGCACTTCAGTTTAAAAATTCTACCTATCTTGAGCACATTAGCTGCCAGTAATTTACTAGTTTATATATATATATATATATATATATATATATATATATATATATATATATATTAAACATAGCTGGAGCCATCAGATGATTGTATTTAAGCATGAAACAGACTGTCACCTCTTGGTGTTGGCATCAATGTCCACTTTTATATTCACATATGTTCTATTCATAATATTGAGCACTTTAACCCATATCTTAAAACTATATCATATATATATATATATATATATATATATATATAAGGCAGCATATAATTTATATACAAAGAAATAATCACACATAGAATCAATCAGCAATGTCACCAATAATAGCATTAATATTGCTGATTGATTCTATGCGTGATTATTTCTTTTTATATATATAACTTTAAATATTATTCTTACTGGATATTCATATTTGAGTAGGCGCTCCATTTATCTCTTATATAAAGGGTGACTGAAAAGTAACTCACTATTTTATGTATGATCAACTCCTTTTTTGTAAAAATTATAGTTAAACAGAAGAGTCCATCATACATAAAATATGGTGTTACTTTTCAATCACCCTCTGTGTGTGTGTGTGTGTGTGTGTGTGTGCATATATATATATATATATATATATATATATATATATATATATATATATATGCACAGTGAGGGAAAAATACCTTTCACATAATGGTCAGATATTAGTGGCAATGGTGTCTTCATCTAGATAATGTCTTACCATTATATGGGAGGTATGTTAGAAGTATTTCTGCCACACCCTGTGTGTTTGTATATATTTATTTTTTTATATATATATATATATATATATATATATATATATATATATATATATATATATAAAAAAAAAAAAAGATATTTTAGGAAAATTATAACAAAGTAGAAAAGGTTTTCATGTAACACATTTTGTCCTTTAGAACTTCAGACTAAAGTGATGTTTGCATTGATGCAACTACTCATGTGCACAAAGTAGAGGGGGATGCTGAAAATCCCATTTTTTTTTTTTAAATATATTTCGGGTATATAGCCTGAGTGATTTCATTTAGTTTCTTTTTCTTACTGACCATAATTTTGCTTAAAAAAAAATAAATTAAAAAAAAAATCCTACTCTAATTAAAAGAGTAGTAATTTACTAAGATTAAAATGTATAGAAAGTGCTTTAATTGCTAGATCATCCAGTCAACTTACAGCCAGGTTCTTGCAACATTTTATCTTTCTTAGCAGATCTTCTATTATCATAATGTGGGATATATAACAAAATTGATTAAAACAAAAAAAATAATCAAACTAAAGGAAATCAATTAAACTATATACCCAAAACAATTTTTAAATAAAATAAATTTTAAACTTAAAATTCTGTGTCAGCTCTCCTTCATGCCATGTGTAGACACATCAATGTAAACATCACTTTAGTCCAATCAAGTCCTAAAAGACAAAATGAATCACACAAAAAAATTTTTCCCCCCCATCAGATTTCATTAAATGTTATATATATATATATATATATATATATATATATATATATATATAAATCATTCTATTAAACTAATTTTATAATTCAAGTTATGAAGGATGTATATATTTTTTTTTTTTTTTATATGTATTTATACATTTTTTCATCTAAGAATTTAAAGAAAAAATCCATAATTTCAAACACATGCACATATATATATATATATATATATATAAATAAATAAATAAATAGTGCATACATGCACATACAATGTATACATTAAAAATTACATACTTGATTCAATATTTTCAAAGAAATTCTATTATATAAACTTTACTTCAGCCAGTCTTTTCATTAAAATCATTTACTATCCATTGATATGACACCAGACATCCATCCAAACACACCAATCAAATCAGTCACCAAATTCTTAAAAATACCCATCTTTTTTAAGTCTTTTTTATGTCTACCTGGTAGTTACACATTTCCAAATGACATCTTAATGCTTGCATAAAGAATTAGATTAAACTAAACTATTAAATCAGTACTGTTCTTTTCTCTTATTACTTTACTAGTGATGAGACTAAATGATGGTAACCAGAAATATGAAGAGGTCTCTAATATTCTGAATTAGAGGCTATTTCTACACACTGGGAATTTTATATGTAAATATTTTATTATAAAATATGAATATTAAAGTGTGTAAATATTATCTTAGAGGAAAATGAAGCAAAATAATTCTCTTACAATTTAAAAGAATATTTTAATTAAAGTTCAATAAATAAGATTTGTTTTAACGAGGAAGCAACATTTCATGTATCTTGAAAGATAAGCAAAACAATAGGATCTGAGGTTCAGAAAACCCACATAAAACAAGAGAACTGGAGAATAACTGTTCAAAAGTCAAGGTTTTGTTTGGCCTCATATTTGATCAAGTGATTGGCTCATTTTTCTTTGCAGAAAAAACTATTACTTCTAACACCTATCTTGTTCTTTTACAAATATTTATTTTACTGCCATCACACCACTTGCAATCAACAGTTATTTTGCAACAGGATAGTACACCATCATTGAATGCTGATTGTTCATGAGTTTCTCAAACATTTCCAAACCAGTGAACTGGATGAGGTGGTATAGTTTCCTGGCTATCCAGGTCACCAGATGTAACCCCTACAGATATCTTATAGGGCTACATTAAAAACAAAGTCTATCATACCAAAGTTCAAATCCTCAATGATCTCTAGAAAAGAATATGCCAAGCTATATGAACCATTGAAGAAGAGATACTTGATTAAAATACTTGATCATTGTCTACATGTGTAGCATGCAACCAATGGAGTCCATGTGGAAGTGTTTAAAGAAAACTGTTTACCTATATTCACTAATAAACCCTATAGAATTTTTTTTTTTTTTTTTTTAAGGAATTTCTCTTAAATTTTACTGATAATTTATGGACACCTTGCATACAGACACTCCCCTCACCAATGTTAATACAGCACTACCATTTAATTTCTGATGTTATAATGGCTGATACAACGACTGAGGTTATGACAATTTTGAGGCATTATTTTAAACTAGGCATCAAAGCTACTTAGATTTGGAAAGTATAAAGGGATGAAACAATACTTGTACTGTCCAAAGATTGGTTTAAACATTTTGAAGTGATAACTTGTTCCTTAAAATAAGGCTCAAAAGCAGATGACCATTACAATGAGAAACTAGCCACCAATACTAAAACTTTTAGAAGAGCTAAGATCATTGAAAGATACTATATGCAGAATGTTATAAAAGCTTTTAAAAGCAAAAAAAATACAGGATATTTATATATTATCTTTGACACTCAGAACCAAAAAAAAAAAAAGGAAAAAGAATAGTGAAAGCATATAAAAAGACAAGGAAATTATGAAAAGAATAAATAACTATGACATTCTACACATACATACACATTCAGGTGTACACACACAAAATTCAAGCTAACACCTAAAAAAAGCACAAATTTTTTTTTTACTCAATATGAAAATGAGAAAAATCAGACAATTGCTGATACTTCCTGACAAGTGAATTGAAGGATTACAAAAAAAAGGTTCACCTACAAAACTCTAGTCAGAGTGCTGACTATAACATCAATCAGCTAAGTAATAAATTTTATATTAATCACAAAAAAAAAAAAAAAAAAAACTACCCAAATACATGCAATGCATACAGTCTACAAACAAAGGAAAGTGAAGAGACTACAAGCATTACCACTTCGCTTTCTTCTTCTATTTGAGCAGGTGCAGGTGCAGGTGCAACTACCTCTCGTTCTTTTTCCCTTGATGTCTGTCGTAGAATAGATTCACGCTGGTAACTCTTTATCTCGGCATTTGGAACATAACATTTTGACTGGGGAGGGACATATTTTTTCCTGGGTTCCACCTCTTCCTCTTCTTCATCTTCAGATTCATTTTCAGCCTCCCACCTCTCTTGCTCCAATTTTTTCTAAAACAATTAAAAATAGTAATTATTAAAAAATCATTTTTTCCCCCAGTTCAGTACAAACAAAAACTTCACATAATTATGATTCAATTGCAAATTGTCTTATTTTTAATATCCTTTGAGTTAGTGCATTTAGAAATACCTTCATACAATACCTGATAAACCATTTCAGTTCCCTTGTGGAGAAGGGAGACCTCCCCACCAGTTGAGAACCAATGAAGACCTCACATTAATTTTCACAGAATTTTTTTTGCATTTTTTAATTTAGCAAATTTTAAGTTATATTATTCCATACCTTATAATGCAACATTTCAGATACTTACAGGTTATTATATACAACAATCTAATACTAATATTATATATATATATATATATATATATATCTTAAAAACTTATGAATTGATCCAGCTTATTATTGTCGAGGTTCTCAGACATATGAAAACAAATGATAAATATAGAGAAATCAATTTGTGTAAATAAAATGTCAAAAATATATAAATGCTATTTAGCTAAAAAAAAAAAAAAAAAAAAAAAAAAAATGAAGATAATATGAATTACATAATTTTGTATATCCATCTAGGTACATTCCAGAAGGTTTCCAACATATTCTATACATGCTCAATGAGGTTTAAATCTGGTGAGTATAAAGGCCACTTGAGTACCTGGAATACAGCCAAGGGTTCTTGATAACCAGTTTCATGTCAACTGTGCAGGTGAAGTTCAGCAAACTCTCAGATGTTTAATGAAGTTCTTCAATCCCAAACTGTTAAGCCAGTTAACACTTGTTTCACTAACTAGTGGACCCAATTCTTCAATTGGTCCACAATGGTGACTACTATAAGGTCTCATGAAACTTGCAAACTTTTCTTTCCTACTTGATACCACTGCATATTTTCCCCACTTCCTTGGTGAATCTTTTTGTTTTATATGATAAATATCTTGCATACATGTGCATCTCTGGTTGCAAAACACTTTTTTGGTAAGGATTGTTTGCATATTAAAGATAAAATTATCTGCTTGTTTGCATGTGCTATGAACATGGTACACTTTTACAGATATTCATATATTTTCCTTCCTGTATCAGAGCATGCTAGTTCTAATTCTAGCATCAAATTGAATGCAACCAACTATGTTTCTGTTGTGGTAATCCATACCTTCCATTTCCACTACAACCTGTACATCATAACCTAAAACAGTTGGAGAGAGTATTTCATTTTTCAGGCCCCAAACAATCATTTTACTGTCAAGCAATGTTAAATCCAGTTCACATCTTTGTTATTTCATTTAAATAATTATAAAACATGTGTAATATCAAAATTTGTTTGCAAAAGTTTTCCTGGCTAGCTATAGTTACTTTTTGTAACAAGATCTTAAAACTTATAAATTGATCTACTGCACTATCATTAAATCAATCTTAACATTGCTTTTTACTAAAAAAAAAAAAAAAAAAAAAAAAAAATAAATAAATAAATAAAAAAAAAAATGCTTGCACATTTAAAAAATTTTTTCTTTAATTTAAAAAAAAAAAAAAAAAAAAAAAAAAAAAAATGGGTATTTTTTTTTTTAAAAATTAAAGCTTATCTATATTACCATCAAAACCTGACAAATAAGAGATTTTTAAAGTGGTTGACAGTTTATTTGTTAATTGGAAGTAGATTACCTATAACCATGTTTTTCAAAGTTACATCGTCTGATAATTAGCTAATGGATAAAATTATTACTTTTTACACCTTTCTTTTTTTTTTTTAAGATCTTGATAAAAGTGACAGCAGCAACATTGTCTTTTTGGTAGACATCCCAAGCCTTTTAAAAGGCTTGGTGTACCTTCCAAGTAAATGTAATTTTCCTATTTTCACTTTTAATACATTTTTTCAAGAATCTTAGCAAGATGATAAACTTGAATTAAAAAAAAAAAAAAAAAAAAAAAATAGAATGCTTAAAATTTCCATTTGTGCCTTTCATTTTTATGTAGAAACAATAATAAAAATAAACATTTACATTACACCTAAAATTTTAAAAACAAATATCTTGAATCTTTAAAGCAAAAAGTTTGAAACTGGTTATTAAGCTCATTGCAAGTAAAAAGAGTTTAAGAAAGGAGAGAACTTAGTGCTTATATATATATATATATATATATATATATATATATATATGTGTGTGTGTGTAAAAATTCAGATAGAGTATATCTGTAAAAGGACAATATGAATAAAGAAAAAAGGAAAACCAATCTTAGGTGACATATTTCATCCTTTGAGATACTTTATCAAGGATTTTATGTGGGACATTACATACAAGAGCAAAAATGTTATTGGTTTTTCAAAATTTTTTGGTAAAGGAGGGCTCATGAATATTTATCAGGTTAGCAGAATAGTCAGGCAAGTTCATGGATATGAGGTGATACAATTTGATGCCTAAAAAGCAAAATTGAGTAGAATATATATATATATATATATATATATATATATATATATATAGTGTATACTTTGGCAGCATGTTTCCTTTAAGACATGTCTCATTAAATAATTTAGACAAGTTTTTGTCTTATTCTTAATAGGACTCGCACATATTTACAGATGAGTTTCTTAATATCCTTATTAAAAGGAAGAAATAAACTTACCATGTTGATGTAAATAAATTTTATTCACAAGTATTTTCAACATTAGCACAATGTCATCTTCTGGGACTTGTTTTACTAAGAGAAAATTGCTGTGTTCATCTGAAAATTTTTTTTTTCTTGTGAAGTGGAAATACTAAACTTATGTACTGTACAATTTTTAAATTTTATGATGTAAGCATACATGTGCAGTAACGTCAAGGGGAGTAACTAAGTTATTAAGATGCCTAACTATTTTTTAAAATCTATTTAAAGCTATTAGTTATAACCTAGATAGTTTAAACTATCTACTGTAAACATTTTTGCATTATTCATAATTATTATTATTAAGGGTTGGTTTCAATTTTATTTAATATAGATAGTGTGACACTATTTAGGGTTGCGAGAAAGAAAGAAAGAAAAAAAAAAGAAAAGGGCGAGAATTGAATTTAGGTGATAAGAAGCCATCACGAAAAGGACACTAAGCAATGTTATTTTCTAACAAAGAAAAGTGGTAAGATTTTATTTTCATTATCAAGGAAGTAAGACACTGGATTTAATTTATGACGACACACCAAGTGGACGATAGAAGCCTGCCATGACAATGATAATGAAAATTTCAGGTTGGTCAAGTGTCCTACGAAACAGAAACTGGGAGATAATGATAATTAGGTCATGCTCTGACAGAAACCAAAATGTCCGTTGAACCACCCCCATATCATTTGGAAAAAAAAAAACACCCGTTTTATGTCGAAGCTGGCCACGATAGGAAAATTATTTTATCAGAACGAATAATTGACTGGAACATGGATATCGCCAGATGACCACCTACTTGTTTGGCGAAGGTCCCGAATGATGAATCCCAAGTGACATTCAGGATAAAATTGAGATTAAGAGACCACACTACGAGTCGTATTGGTTTGTTGTCGGGCAGAAAGGAAAGGAAAAAAAGGAAAAGAAAGGAGAGAAAAAAAAAAAAAAAAAAAAAAAGAATTTTTTTTTCTTTGAGCAAGATTTTTTAAACCGAGGCCAGTCTGGCCACACCCACACTGCTTGATGTCCATTGGCTGAATGGTGGCGTGAGCGGTAGGCAAAGGTAATCATGTGAAGAAGGAGGAGGCCTGTTAATGACCCCCCTCCAAAGGGATTGGTGTGAGATGCCACTGTCAGAAAGAGGGGAAAACGTTGACACCCTCTGAGGGTATGGGTGAGATACCAAAATGAGAAAAGAAGAATTTAGGAGGACGAAAGACTTCCAAAAATGGAAATAATTCTTCCTGACTGAAAACAAAGAAAAACCTTTAATACAGATTTAGAATTATCAAGGAACCTCATACCCTGACAGGCCACCCCGGTTTTGGTTGGCGTCCATATAAGCAGAGTCGCAACGAGTTGCGGCAGTTGAATTAAGGAGTTCGCAGCTGTGCAGTTGGGGTTAGACAGACAGGCAAGCAGTTGCAGTGAGCTGAGAGCTCGCAGACGCCTCGCAGAAAGCTGACTTGAGATTCCACGCAATTCCAAACTCAACTTCTAATCAAGAACAATTTATTTTTGAAGAACAACTTAGACTCGCACCACTAAAACAAGTTTTACGAATATCACCTGAAGATACACCAAAAACCAGTTCCTTGAAAAAACAACTTAAGATATTAAGACTCGCCTAACAAACGCAAAGAGTCACGAATCCATATTAGCGGTTTGGAAGAAAGATGCAGTCCTGTATTCAGCAACCAGATATAAAATATTGTTATTCCTTTTTAACACATTTGAACTTTGAGTTATTACTTTATTTTCTTTTACGTATACTTGTGTGGTATTACCCTTGTTGGACTCGACTTGCATTACGGCCCGGCGACTGATTGATTTCATCTACCTAAGATCAAATCACAATGTGGGTAGGTTAGACTAGAAATCAAAACGGTTACTTCAGTAACCAGACATTGGAGGCGAGCTGGGAACGATAAGGTTGATGCTGAACCTAACCAGATTCCCATCCGAATCAGCAAAAGGTTAGAACGTCACATTTGGTGCCGCGACCAATACCAAGTCACATTGGTCGTCACAGGACAGGATAGGATGACAATGACGGCGCAGAGATAGACAGGGTGACGTCACAACTGGCACCGCGACCAGGACAGCACGGCAGACGTCACATTTGGCGCGGCGACACCGGGGGGGGGACGTCACATTTGGCGCGGTGACACCGGGGGGACGTCACAATAGCTTCAAGAATTTTTAGTTTATGTCTTATTTTCATGAAAAACAAGAATTTTTCTAAATTGCAAATGTGGATAGGCATGCTGTCGTAAATGTTGAGATGTTAAATGCATCATTCAAATGAAAACTCAACCTTCTAGACAATGTCGTTGTGGTGTGACCAACATTTTTTTTTGTTGGAGATACAATCTCCCAAGGGATATTTAAATTTATATATAATGTTGTTTTCTGCAACACATTAATTGGTGAGAAGTAGTCATTACAAATGATTAAATTGGATATATTGAATTTAGTATAGTATATAATTTTATTTTTACTAGGATCTGTGGTGGATATATTAGTATTTACTAGTTTTTTTAGGATATTTTTCGTCCTGTTTATAATTAGAATGTATTTGATTGCAATATAAAAGATTAATATGTTTAGGATTATTTGAGGAAGTATTATATTCTATTTATGTTATATTAAAATTTCTAATAGAGCATCCGATTTGTTCCTTGACAGTATAATTAGGGAAGTTATTGATAAGAGTTTGCTTCATATTTTTTAAGTTCACTGTAGAAAATCTGTTTTTTAGAGGAATTCATTTTTGCACGGTTCATTAGGATTTTATAATTGCTATTTTATAGTAAATTGGACATTCACTCATAATTAAGAGTGCATGAATTTATGCTAGTAGGTTTTTTATATGGGGAGATAGTGAATTTATTGTTTACCAATATATCTAGAAAAGGAATTTTATTACTATTAAGTTTGTATGTAAATTTAAGGACAGAATTATTTAGGAATTGTTTTTGGAGTTGATATATTTCATCCATATTCTTGACTAAGATAAGGATGTCATCGACATATCTTAGGTAGATGGAAGATTTAAAATTTATTAAGCGTGTGTGTGTGTGCGTGCACGTGTGAATTAGTATTTAAATTATTTTGAATAATAATTTATATATACAGGTTGCGATGGGTAAATTGTCGCCATTTTATATTTTTAATTTCACGTATGCGTGTTGTTTATGATTTTGATTTCACAGTAAAGTCAGTTGAGCACTGTGTGAGAAAAAGAGCATGATGCAATTCATACCACCAGGAATTCAGAAACGGCATGCTGTAATGCTTGACAATTGCACTGGAAGCTCCAATATGAACATTTCGGAGTGTCTTTGTGTCAATCTGAGGACAGTGCAGAGGATTCAGAAAGAGTTGGACAAGTCTTAATTGTGATTACAAAAGTGTTTAGAGTGATCACTACTGATGGCAACATTATACCTCCATTCATCTTCCTACAACATGAAGGCCTACATCGTGCCTTGAAAAGGTACAGCTGAACTAGGTCAAGAGTGGGTGTTGGAAGACCCCATGTCTGGCAACAGGACTGTACCATACCACACAAGCAAGAGAAGCCAGTCATGGCTGTTGGACAATTTCTGGGCCACATCACCCCTTACATCTGGCCACCTAACTCCCTAGACTGCAATCCCTTTGAGCGAGACCAACAAAACTCCTTGTAACTTCAAAGATGAACTGAAGCAAGGATTATGGCAGCATTCACCAACTTAAATAAGGAGACTATCCAAAAGAGTTGCAGGAGATTCCAAAGTTGTCAAATGGCAACTTTGTCGAATAAATTTCCAAGATATTTTTGTCTAATTTTGGTAAATATATCTTAAAATGAAAGCTCGGTGTTATTTTCATTTTTACTTAATTCAGACACCAATTTATTCATCGCACATTGTGTACTTTTTTTTTTTTTAAGCATTTCACCCCAAGCAAGGCGGGAAGCCACTAGGATGCAAGGGGTTACAGAAAATTTGAAGCAAGATCAGATAGGAGTGATAGAAGAAAGGATGAGAAGAAGGGTAGTGGATAGATCAAGGCAACTGGAGATGTCGATTGACATTACATTTGAATACCTGGAGATTATAGCTCTCAGGGAAACTGGAATAGGGAAGGGAGTTCCACAGGCAAGAGGTGCGAGACATGAAACTATTGGAGTAGAAGAGACGGCTACGTTTAGGAGTTTCGACAGTGAAGTGGGGAGAGCAGGATGCCAGCCTCGTCGGGCACTTGAAATCGAAGTCTGGGAACCAGCAAATGCAGCTCCTCGGAGCAATTGTTATGAAAGTATTTGTAAAACAGACAGAGAGGCGACGGCGAGTCTGTGACTGTAGACGAGATGCCAGATTAGGATCAATTATATTGCATATCTGCCTCTGGAGCCTATCAAGAACCCCGAGGCAAACAGAAGGGGCTCCAGACCATATATGGCAGCAATACTCCATGCAAGGGCTTAATTGTTGATTTGTAGATCTGGAGGATTGATTCGGGAGAAAAATTCCCTGCGGCACAGGAGCCAAATTTTTTGTGTGGACGAAGCAATTGACTCAATGTATTTGTTCCATCTCAGGTCAGCAGTCAACGTGAGACCGAAACAGCCACAGAGAGGTGCTCTCGAGAAGTTGAGCGTCAGACATTAACATGTAACAATTTGGCTCTTGTATATAGATACTTTTCACAAAAAATCCTTACATTTGCCTTGATAAAGTCCCTTGGAGGATAATACACATTGGCTAAGATAAGTTTTCCTTGTCTTATATATATATATATATATATATATATATTATATAAATAAAAAGAATTTTTAATTGGTAAAGGAAAGCATAAATCATTGAAATTTAAGATTACAATTAAAAATATGCAAGTCATTTGAATGAAAAACGCAACATTTGTTTTTGTTAATATTGTGATTTTAACTTTCTTTTCACAAAAAAGGGTAAAGACAAAAAGATGATAGTAAATGCAGCTTTAAAGTTGAATAGTAGATGAGGTTGGTAAGCTACAGAAATGGAGAAATATAGCTTGAAAAGAAAAGGAATAGATTTGAACTTTCAGATATGGTTGGGTATTAGCCAGCATGGAGTTTAAGAAGGGGGTTATAGTGACAAGAATAACTTGCATTGGAGAAGAAAGCAATATACAAATTATTTTTTATGTCCCTTTTTCTCTTAAAAGAACCAACCAATTAGGTGGAATGGATTCTTTAATAAATGAGCTTTCTTTTCCTATACAAATCAATGACAGAAACAAAATTTTTGTATTTCACCTCATCTCCATTAATATCCACATCTTCCTAAAAATAAGAGAAAGTCATATCAAATGAATATTTGCAAGAAACAAAGATAATTTGAAATTGCTTTGTGTAGCAGTTATTACTAAATTTCTAAATTAAAAAAAAAAAAAAAAAACATTTAGAACGAGTTTGCTTTCTAAGTGTTTGACAAAATATGAGTTGTGTCATTCTTTTCTAATTGTCATTCACAAAAAAGCAAATTAAAAATATTTAAAAATAGAAATCAAATCATGCTAACTCATAAATAATGATTTTCTAATACACTGAAGAGTTTACATCATTTTCTTTCTTCATATTAACCAAATTATCTTTTTCTACTGAAAAAGAAATGGAGTCAGTAAGTAATGCTTCAATATCTTCCCAACCCCCATGAACCTGCAGATAAATTCTTTGAGATAATGTGGTGGCGAATTTACTTACAGCTTATTCAAATATAAAACAATTGATAATTTATTAAAATATGAGAAAATACCATTACTTTCTAAGCACTTTATTTACACAATATCCTGAACATTTTCAAATGAGAGTTGCAAAGAGATTTTTCTCTTGGCACCAGCAATCCTTCCTCATTAAGATATGTATTTTTAATACAGAGTAGAATTGTTTCCTTTTATCTATGATTTGTATATATGTGAACAACAGGGATTTAAACAAAAAGTACTTCATATTTTTTCTATCAAATATTCATCCTTAAAATATACAGATTTAAAATTATCCAACTAAGCTTGATTGAAGTTTTTATGTTAGAAAAATTTTTTAAAATCAAATATTTCTGCTCAAAGTTTTCTCATATAATTTTCATATTCATTGATTTTGTTTACAGAGTCAATATTTTAATGATTTTTAAATAAATTAAAAATTCTTAATTCTTTAATATTGAAATGCCAATTTTTCTAGACTGAAAAGAAATGATGTCTGAATTAAAATCAAATACAGAAAAAAATTAAGAATCCAAATTTAAAAAAAAAAAAAAAAAAAATAAAGTGTTTTGCAACTCTGAAATAATGTTGAAAGCTTATTTTAAATGATCACAATAATAAAATAATTCTTGAAGACAACTGTTTCAAAAACCAAAATACATTGTTTTTGGTCTCCAGGATTTCTAATAATACCAAGAACTTGCATAACTGCTATTACCAAATGCCTAAAAAAAAAAAAAAAAAAATCAACAATTTCTCCAAGTCTCTATACTTTTTTAAAATAGTTTTCAATTTCTTGTTTTTTTTTCCTATTCATTTTCTATAAACCTAAAAAAATTTTCAATTTTTTGCTTTGCAGGTATTTTTTCTGCACTTTTTTTTATCTTTAGTTTTATTTGTAAAGTGACCAGTAATAAAAAAAAAGAATTTTTTTTTTTTTTCTTCAAGGAAGAACAAATTGATTATTGCTTAAAATGGAGTGGGTATTCAAGAAAAATTCCTCTCATAATTCCTCATATATACTATCTGTTCATATATCATTTTAAATTTAACTTGGTTGACTTAGCAAAAATAAGGCTTGAAGATACATCTGTCGCAACACAAAGAATTTAATGTAAAAATTTAGCTAGGATTTAAGATTATTTGTGTTTGTTTATTAAACCTGACATAACTGAGCATAGTCAATATCAGTAGTAATGTAGTCAGAACATTACTTAAATGTGTATGTACTACATACGTGTAAAGATACCAGCAGTAGGAAAACTGATCTTGCATGAACACCTTGACAATTCAACAATTTTCTTAAACATTTCAGAGTCAAAGCTGAGGGCATGTCCAGCTGCTATCAAATCCACCTGATCAAACCGACTGACAGTATGTGATCTATATTCTTATTTTAGAAATTTAAAATAACTAGAATTTTTTTGCAACAAGCTGACAGGTGTTGAAATCTTCACAGTATTTAGTATTGTTAAAGTTAGCACTATCATTTTTTGTTGAGATTTACAAACTCTACATTTTGTTCAGTTTCATAAACCAATTGATCACATTTGAATAGGCTGATTTGTTTGGAAAAATACTTTGGTAAAAACCCTACTTCATGGTTTAATAATTTCTTTAATAAGACTTCATGGTAAACAATATTTGTTAATTTCTTTTTTGCCTTTTTAACGATGAAGAATAAATTTCTTACTCTTGAGCATGCAACATACTGCATAGTGAACTGGAAACTGGATTCTTGTATATATAAAAATTTAAAAAGATATACAAAAAATAATATTGCATTTTTATTAAATAAGTATTTATTTTAATCATTAAATTGTTTTTAAAATAGTGGGAGTATTTTGTATGTTAAATAATAAAACTTTAAAATCCCCCCCACCACAAAAAAAAAAAAAAAAAAAAAAAAAAAAAACTGATGAAAATTTATTGTACTAAACTACACAGCACCCTAGTAAAACCAACTGTACTTTGTACCCACATATTTGTTTACACTTCTCCCCAAAATTTGGTTTTGAACAGTCAATGTATTGCTATTTTAAGGGATGTGATAGATGGACTAATAGAAGTCACAGAATTTTATATATGGATAACGAATATCAAGAACTTGAAATTAAGTTGTTAAATACTCGCAATTCTTCTTGAATGCAAAAGAGTCGGCTGCAGAATATTGGTATTTTGACCCAGCAAGTTAATATACATTGTACTGTCTTATTTGAAGACAATCAAAATACTGTCAATTTCAGTACATACTTTAACTTAAACATCTTCTGGACTGGTGTCAAAAGATAGATGTTAGGAAAGATTAATAGTGAAATTCAAGTTTTGTGTTATGATCCACTTTAGTACAGATTTGTGTTTGAAGTAAATAGCATAAAAATGTACTGTATACTCTTCAATTAATATTAATAATAATAAGAATAAGAGAAACATCAATTTCTTTAGAAGGTGGCAATTGTACAAATTCCCATTTAATATACTCTGTCCAATGTACCAAACAACTATTTATGTTGGTTGCACAATGGAAAAATTAAAAGATTCAGTGGCCACAGGTAGTGATTTTCTAAGCCCGGCTTAGATGTGGCACAAGGCCGATAGTAGGGGGCACCCAGTGAGGATCGAACTCACTACTCAGTTGTAATTGATCTAGCAAGACAAGCTTTCTAACCATTACACCATGTTGAGGTGCCCCTTCAGTGGCTACAGGTATGATTTCAGACAACAATGTGATATCAACAGAGCTTGTGGAATATTTTATTACAAACAATTGTAATTTTGACAAGCATCTTAAAATATTTTGAATCTACCAATGTTGCAACACATGAGGATAGTTATGTAGGCAAACTACTATATTCCTACCCCAGGGGGAATGAAAAAAAAATGACAAAAGAGTTCCGTAAGATTTAAATGAATTCTCTGATACTACACAAGGAATGGCTGTCCTGACTTCTGATATTGACTAGGTGTCAACACATACAGGTTTATGAATTAAAAAGGGCTATAGTAAATGTTCCATTCAGTACTACAGATTTGCTGACTAATCAGTTGTGTAAGTCCCTCTAGAAGGACAATGCATTGTGCATCTGTTCATGAGTAGGAAGGGGGGGGTATAATAGACGAGAGCTACGTTTTTTTTTTTTTTTGTTTAAGTTTGAAGCAGTAAAGGCAACCTGGGTGTGACATCTAGATATTTGGTAACACCCACAATCAAAAATCATACGTGCAGACCGGGTTACCAGACCTGGAGATATTTTTTAACAGAGGTCCCACCTGTAAGGTTATGCTTAAATTTCATCAAAACTTGCCACCATATGATTCAAATGCCTGATATACTTCATCAAAATGAGTGTCAGGATGACAATATTGAATTTTGTATATTTGTAACCCAGCATAATTTTACTGGCATGCTATTGTCACTCAGTAATTAGTGCAATGAATAACAAAATAATACTTAATAAAGAAGTTTTTCAATTTGACATTTGTTAGAAATTTACACATGTAAGAAGACTATTATCTCAACTGAACCCACTCAGCAAGAGTAAACAAATATTAAAGTGTGAGAAACCTTTGCTAAAACTACTTACTTCATACAACTTTGTTTGTTCTTCCCGTTCCTGCTGTTCAAACAATAGACGTTTTTTCCTTTCCTCTTCAGCCTTTTTCTTCACCTCCTCTTCTGTGTTCCTGGCTATATTTTCAAACTTAGCTCGCAAGTTACGAGCTCCTTCTTTACCTAAAATAAGAAGCAGAATATTTTTAATATCTTAAGATACTCTTACTGGCTGTTTTCTCTGGAGAGTCATTTTTTTGTTGAGGTGGGACCTGGATTAATCTCACACAAAGTAAAGTGGGTCCTGCATGACAGAGGATTTGTCATGACTTGAGGCAAAACACTTCAAGGCTTGATGCTCTTTCTGACACCCAACTCCAACACTCAACATAATCCTAGTGGTTTTATCAAGATACTATCTCCAGAAGGTTGCTAGTCATGGCTTGAAACCCAATCCTAGCCAATATAACACACACGTTGACTCCTATAAGCAGCTCATCCACATTTTGACAGGTCTCATTTTTAGATCCTGTGCAGTGACATTCCACCCTCCTTACCAACAGAAAAGCTAGTTGGGGAGATGGTTTAGACACCAATCACCCATTCATGTGGCTGGTTGTTCCAGGTTACATGTTACCAGTAGCCTGACCTGCTATGGAGAATTATAAAGGAAAAAAATATGCTACTTTTACAAAACAAAGGCATTTCTGCAAATATAAAAATAGTTCACTTTTCATTGAATGTTCCAAGTTTAATACTGCCCATTAAAACCATCCATACATTTCAGATATATTAAAATAGAGCAGATAAAAAGGTGGCCAATAAGTTGGACCAATTTTAAATGTGAATTAAGTTTAAGCATCTAATGATCTTTTTCTTTTAGATTTGGCAGACATGTTATTTTTCACACACAATTCTCATAACTTAAATAACATGATCCAATACAGAAATAAATTTTTCACCAATAACACGGATTTATTTACTGCTGACTTTGATCAGTCTTAATGAAACACCCTTTAGATGTAAAAAAGTATAAAATCCTTAAATTTATACATACCATCTACAATTACTATACCATAGTATATGCATATTTTTTCAGTTATACATGTTATCTCTGTAAGTCAGATTTATTTTCTATTATAATTATTTGAAATAAAGTCTTATAGAAAATTATAATGTATTTCATTTACAGTCAGCTTCCATTGCATCAAAAATTATAATTGTTACTCAGCTTCTTCATTCAAATTCAAAAGGCAATGAATGACCAAGATACAAAATCAAATAATTTCAAAATCAAGTAATTTCTCTTAAAAAGAGCAATCAATTTCTCTACAGAAAGTATTCCATTTTGGTCACAAATCAAAAGTCTATGTTGATATTATTTGGACCCAGCAAGGAAATACCAGTTTTGATTGCAAATCAAATAGCATGATGGACACTGAGCCACTATGACTATTTCAGTGAAATACCAGGAAACCAGTAACTTGACAGTGATATTCAATTCAATGACACATGCATACAAAAAGTGTTGATATATTTTCATTTAAAAAAAAAAAAAAAAAAAAAAAAAAATTTGGCTCAAAATTCTATTATCATTAAAATTCTTAAAATCAACTGAATATTTTCACATAATTATATACTTTAATATATATTAAAAGAAAGACTTACTGGCTTGTGCTGTTGGTTTCTCATAGTTTGTGCCAATTTTACTTTGCATTTCTTCATAACTATAAGCTGCCTGTAAAATAAACGAAAGCCATATAACCAAATACAAAATTCAATGTTTAATTCAGGCTGATGAAAATGTATAAAAATTGGTTCAATTGGATAAAGAATTATTTTCGTATAGATGTTATTTACCAAGTTTTGTTTAGCTTGGTATACAGACCTCATGTTCTTAATGTTCATAAAGCAATTTTTTTTTTTTTTTTTTTTTTTTTAAGTACAGCAGGGTCATTGCTACTTCAGTGATTTGGAAGAAGCCAGTGCTTTTAGCATGACTTGACAACCAGCCTCTAATAGTAACATTTTCATTTAAAGAGATCCAACCAAATAGCTTTTGTTATTTAGTTGTCTGAACTCGAGATGCCCTACTGTTACTATGAAGGCACAGTGGAGTAATTGATAGTGGCTTGGATTGAGGAATCAGAGCTAAATTCATTACATTCATTTGAGTGCAAATACTCTTGGGAAATGTGTGAATTAATTTCTTCTCCCTCACCCCCAGCTACGACGGACTAGGTTCTATAGCTTTGGAGGAGGACAACAACTCTGAATTCAAAGCCTCTAACTATGGGTTAAATAGCCTCATCAACTCAAGTATGGTGAGTATGGCTACACCCATGATGACATGGGCAATCAGGGAGAGGGTTTCTCCAACAAGAGTAAGCAAGCTCCAGATTTGGATTGTTATGAAATACATATTCTTTCAGACCAATTGTCTAACTTTTGATCAAAATATTTGCTCCAAATAATCAGTGCATATTTTTTTTTTATTGAGAGAAAAAAAAAGAAAAAAGAAAAAAAAAAAAAAGAAATCATTTTACAATAATTCACAAAATGCTTTATATGTGGATTCTCCTCTTAATTTCCCAAGATATATATTATGTAGGTACCTCCACGAAATCGCTAAAAAAAGAGCATAGCTTGATGAAAAAGACGCCAACCTTGCCAAAAACTAAATTTTATTGTCTAAATGCTTATGTTATTAAGAGGAAAGACCAAAGATTTTTTTTTTTTTTAATTATTTTTAAAAATTTTCCTCTTTTTAGAACATTCTAAATTTTGATTAAAAGAACCTTTTTCTATTTGTATCAGCGGAACTAGTAAATAACAGAATTTTTAGCATGTTTTTTGGTATGACACATTAATTTGAAAAAATGCAAAAAATAGAAATAATTATCGGATGTTAATGAAACTTTCAGGAACTATTCACAGATGATCGAAATTATTATAAATGTTTTTTTATGAAAGTCATGATAGAAATATTTTTTTAAAATATTTATTACCCCCATAACTAATTTTATGAAAACGCTTAGAAATTGATCGCATCGGTTTTAGTGATTACAATAATTAAAAGCACAGGGCTCTGAGGGATGCAAATCATGTTTTTTTTTGTTTTTAATTGATACGCAGTACCTGAAAATCAGCTCTGAATTGTAACATACAAAACTCAATAAAACAAATATATTATTTAATTTCAAATGCTTTTATTTGCTTTTAGTTGTTTCTGTGAATATGGACAATATTTTCTGAAAGCAAAAAAATTTTTTCGATGAAAAATGAATTTTTAATACAATTATTTGTTATTTCATTAATTATAATAGATTTTACATTTAAGTTGTTAAAATATTATAAAATTAGTTAAAAGTCAAGATCGGCTTTCATAAGTGTCCTTATGAGATAGATCTTTTTTTAGCGCGTTGTAAATTGTATCATTTTGACTAATCAGAAGATACCCAGTAATTAAGAAATGTAATTTTGTGCTTATAATCGAGCTGTAATTATAAAATACGGAAGACCAACCAGAATATAATTAAGTTGCGTTATTTGAGTTAAGCATTTTTCGTCGCTGTTAAGGCCTTTACTTTTTGTAAACACGTGTGGAGAAGTTAATTTGATTTTTCAATTTCAACTGAGAAGGGTACCTACAAGTATCAGTATCATCTTATGAAATTTATATGATCTTATTTTTATATTAATCTCAGTTACTTACATTTTTCCATAAATGAAATATCAAAATTAATAATAAAATGAATGCAAATACAAATAACAGTAGAATGTAATAAATGTACATAAAATTATAGTATTTTATGTACAATTCTGATAAAATTTCATAAGAAAGGTACCTATAAATTAATTAGATACCTTTCTTAAGAAATATGAAATTTAATGTCACTCTTAACAGTTTTATTTTAATTTCTTTTACAATATATTTCCCATAAAGCATCATAAATGTAAAGGTGAAAGCTAATACAAAAAAAAAAAAAAAAAATTAGACCACTGAAAGTTTTCGTTAAAAAATAACGGGTAAATAATTTGTTCACGTAAATGTAAATTATTTCACTTTTCTCCTTCCAGAGAACAAATTAGCCTCATGGAATTGAAAATATATCATTCATCACATGTCAAGAGACGCAAAAAAGTTTATGACCTGCTTTGTTTTATTTTCAAATTACATCTTTTTGGCACAAAAGCTAAGTTAAGTTCAAAATATTTTAAATAAACATTATAATTTCTGATTTTCTTAAAATAAGTTTTGAAAAAATGATAATTGATATTTAAAAAAATTTCAAAGTCAGATTTCCAGTTTTTTTTTTTTAATGGAAAAAAAAAAATGGTCAATTTTGCTGACTCAAAAAAAACTAGATTTTTAACGAAAATTTCGGACGTGCTAGGAACGATTAAAAAATGGAAAAAAATACCCCAAAAAATACTTTTGACCTTTCCTCTTAATAATAAACATTTAGACGATAAAATTTTGTTTTCGGCCAAGTTTGCGTCTTTTTTTCATTGTGCTATGCGTTTTTTTTTTAGCGATCTCGTGGAGGTACCTAATATTATGGCAGTGATGTATCTAATAGTCTATAACTGCCATATATTGAAAAAAATTGTTTTTAATTGAATCAGACTACATGAGCTATTATCTAAAATATGAATAACATTGGCAAAATTTTTGTATAAACAAAAAGAGAAATCCCAATAGTAAATCATGTACCTACCATAGCACACAGATTAGTGAAACAGTCTTATATACCAATTCCCAACAGCAATTCTCACTCTGCTTTTATCAGAAAAAAGTTTAACTTGGTGAATAAATACTAAACGAACAGAGTTTTATAATAGATCAATTTATACAAAAGGTTCATACAGGGTCAGGGTTTTTTAAAATTCAATTATATTGCTTTAATTGTTATAAACATTCAACTTCCTAAAGTGACCTATGACTATACAAGAGAGGTCACCAGTTCTACACATTTCACCTACATGATAGCTCCACACTTCCCAAATAGTCAAACTGTTGAAATTTACATAGAATTTATGCAACAGTAGGAGGCAACAACTCTTGCAATTTATTGGTGGGAGCACAAATCAAGACAATAACCAATATTGATGCCTAAGTTAGTAAGCTGAATATATAGGCAATCAGCTCCACCCCACACACACACACACACACATATATATATATAATAAAATATTGGGGCCCCTCGGCATGGTGTAATGGTTAGCAAGCTTGTCTCGCTAGGACAATTACGACCGAGTTGTGAGTTCGATCCTCACTGGGTGCTCTGTAATTCCGGCCTTGTGCCACATCTAAGTAGCGCTTAGAAAATCATTATATGCTATAAAATATTGCTTAAGAATTGTGTTCATTGAGTACCATATTTTCTGGCTGACAAGATGCACATTTTTAATAAAAAAATAACCCTGAAAAATGTGTGTGCATCTTCCAAGATGAATGTAAGGCAATGCCCAGGCTCAAGTAAGCTAATTGGCTTGACTGATAGGGACATGGATTTGTATGTTGAGTCATTACATTATAATGTTAGCTATCTAATTCAGCCTTTCATTTGATGAAACTTCAGTACTTAGGTGTTATAAGTATTTCCAAGACTGTAAACATTCCTGGAGACAAGCCACAAGATTAAACATGCTCTATTTACTAGCAGTGACGGGAGCCTTTCTGCTCTTGACTAGTATGACATTGCTATACAAACAAAATCGGACAAGTGATTATTGTAAATAACGCATGGCGTCCTTCTAGAATCAAATACTGATCTAAAGTCATCTATTCTCCATTATTTCTAAAGAAATATACACAATGTTTAACCTTTGTGCCTGCAAAAAAATAAATAAAAAAAACATGTCAAGTCAAAAGGACGGTTATTCCTTCAACACCGCTATTATTACATACAGTTTTGACTCCTTTCTTCTGTAGTAGAGAGACACCCTCACTCTTTCTTTATGGCTTGTACTCTTGAATAAGACAATAGAAAGATTGAAACAAAAGCCATAGTCTGAATACCTCTTGGAATGATAAGAATTTCTTAAGATTATGGTGAGTATCACTAAGTTCTTATATAAATACTAAACAACAGAGCAGTAAGCCTGGTTCAGTGTTTTTTTTTGCATGAGAATGCCTAATGATTTGGAACAGGAAATAATTAAGATTAAACAAAGAGAAAACTCAGAAACTAATTGACTGTCAAGAATAATAAAGAAAGGATGGATGGATTAAAAAAATAATAAAATGAGTTAGAAGAGGCCTCCAGGAAAATTCAAGGCTAAAATAAACCCAGTAGAATTCATTAAGAATTAGTAAGACTCTAGCTTCCATAACCCACCTAGTTGTCTCCAGAGCAAAATGACAGATTTATGGTCTTGTGAAATTTTAAAAATTCCAAGGAAAAATTCTTGATTTGTTTATACAAAATACATCTCCGATATGTTCATTTCAGGGATCAGCCTGACTGCATTCTAAAAAGAGTCAGGTGTTACTGTACAAAGAACATATGAAAATCTTATTGAAAAAATATGCTATAAAATCGTCAATTATGAGCAAATTTCTTTATATAAATATGACAGACACGAGAGAGGCAGAGAGATGAGAAGCAGAACATGACAAAAAGTTAATTCATAGTCAGTTTCTAGTTCACTACTGCTACCACTAATGAACACACAGGCAAACCCAAATAGACAAGCATACATTGAGAATCA